GTATCAAATAATTAAATTTATAGACTTCGAAGTGTGTTTCCTTCCAGAATCAGTAGCCATAGTAGCCGTCATTGTTAGAGATCACCGCTGCCACACACCTCGGCATTGATTCAAAGAGACTTTGGATGTGTTCTTGGGATACAGCAGACCAAGCAATTTCCACACGTTGCCAAAGTTGATCTGGTGTGGCAGCTTGGGATGTAATCTGGGTCAATTGTTCAGCAACCAAGGACCACATGTTTTCTATTGGCGAAAGATCCGGAGATCAAGCCAGCCAGGGATGCAATTCAATCTGGCGATTGACAAAGAACCCTTGGACAACGTGGTCACGCATTATCCTGTTGAAATATGGCTGTGGGCAAGCGCTGAAGTTAAGAAAGGACAACTGGCTCCAACACCTCGGAGATGAAGCGCTGGCTGTTTAAAGTACCAACAATGCGTACTAGAGGAGTGCAAGAATGATATCCAATACCGCTCCTTACCATAATACCCGGTGCAGAACCAGTGTGGCGGTGCATAACGCAGCTGTTCAGCATCCTCTCTCCACGGTGTCTCCAGACTTGAATCCGACCATCGTGGTGTTGCAGGCAGAAGCGTGACTCGTCAGTAAAGACAATTCCATTCCATTCTGCTGTCCACATCATTCTTACATCGCACCATTGGCGGCGGAGACATCTGTGGTTCTGCATCAAGGGTAGACGAAGCAATGGACGTCTTGCGGATTGACCATTCTGCTGTAAACGCCATCGAATGGTATGTGCAGACACTGGATGATGCGTTACAGACTGAATGTGCTGTGCTGTGGTTTGTGATGTGACTGAGCGATCCATCACTGCCATGCGCACAATGTTCCTGTTATCATGTGAACTGGTGCACTGAGGTGGATGCGATCGAACACATCTGTCCGTTGTACCCTCCTGCATCCAACGGTCACATATCCACATTACAGTTGTTTGGTTTTGTCCAACACGACTACCGATTTCCCTGAAAGATAATCCATACTCTCGGTAGGCCACTATCCTTCCTCTGTCGAACTTGGATACTTGATGAAACGATGATCGCTGTTTACTACATGGCATAATTGATCGTTTTTCTGGAAAAACCACAAGAAAAACGCAATTGCCAAACTTGAAATTGTCGAAAACTTCAAGCCTTAAATAGCACTTTGAAGTGGCGCCAAAGGCACGTGTGACGTGATCTGCACTGAAATCTAATCATTTGCATATATCACCTCCGCTAATGCATGTTGTAAATTTCATGTTATTTGCGTGCTTCCTTCAAGGTGTTGCATTTAAGTTGGCCAGCAGTGAAGTTTGGAATTCAGGATCTAATGATAAACTTTTATTTTATTCAAAATAAATCAAAACTGTCAATTGGATATTATAAGTTAAATATCAAAACTGTCAATTGGATATTATAAGTTAAATATCAAAACTGTCAATTGGATATTATAGGTTTTAAAATTTTCCCAAAGTTGTTCTAGATATATTTGATCACATGTGCAGCCCATTCAATGTCTTATATGCAGTGAACAAGAAATGATCTGTTTATATGTTTTATACAATTTTAACACTATAATGAAGTATTCTGTTGGACTGTAACAATGCTTCTAGAAAGAAAAGGGATTTGATCCCACCATCAGTTTATGAGAAGTGTTGAAGCAGAACATTATGATTACAATTTTGAAATATTCTTACAAAAAGCTAAGTAAAAAATTCTTGAAGTAGTCACTGCAAGAATAGTAAAGTAAAATGTATCAAAGGTCAAAGAAAATTGAATCAATTCTAGTAAAATTCCACTGAATCAAAATCCTGCTTAACTGAAAGACAAGAACAAAATATTGAACCAGTGAGTTTGGAAAACAATCATTTCTAACTTCAGATCTGTTCTTTGTATTGCTTTATTTTATACTATAAACAAATTATCTTAGTACTTTATTTACAAAACTGAATGTGAAATCTCTATCTAGATGATCTTTAAATATCTGCCTTGATAGACTGTTTAAGTCAATGAAAACTAAAATTTGCTTTTTTTATCAGGGCTGGGGGGGATCTCAAACTGAATAAATTAACATAAACAAAACCTGACAGTTCTGTAAGACTTCAATAAAAACATGAAAACTTTTACCATTACATCCCAGGTGATATTTAGTCATTCTTGTCTATTTTGCCATTCTTGAACTGCCGTTAATGCTGACAATATTGAAGCAAATTTTTAAAACGAGAATTTTAATTGTTTATGGAAGTTTTTTTCCTCCCTCCCCCTTTTTTTGTTAAATATTCAGGAAGTTGAACAGCAATACTGTTAATTTCATTCGTCATGCATTTTTCTAACTTCATCTGTAGGATATTAACTCACAAGTGGTAATTGAAACAAAAATTTTCTAATAAATAGTAACAACAGATGCATGCTATTCATTTAATGTTATTTATAAGATAAATTTAAAATAATTTTTTTATCAAAAGTGGGGGAAACTGAAATGAAACATTTCCTTTTTTTATGGAAATGAAAATGACTAGGGTTGTCCAAAAATATATTTTATTCAAAATGGCTGTTTGCGACTTTGTTGTTGTTGACTAATGCTGACTTGTCTGACCTATAGTCAGCGCAAGCCCACAAAAATCCTTATGGCAAAAACTGCAAGATATGCTGTCATTGGTTATAGTTTGTGAGCACTTTACAGATGAGAGTGCAATTTAGCTCAGTTCCACCCCCAGTTTTGATGGAGAGCACTCTGAGGAGATGGACCCGAGTCTTTCCCTGCCACCAACCTGTCGAGGGGACTTTCAGCTCACTGCATATTTAGAGTGCCCCCATGCCGCATGGACATTTACAAACATCCATACCTTCTCCGGGATTTGAACCCGAGCCCTTCACAGCAGTCAGTGACACTAACCACTATACCAGTTGGGCGGCTTTTCTGACTTACTTTGCATAAGCATGGTTCTGGTATAAAGAAAAGGTTTTGCGTAGACCCGATAAAATGCTGAACTATTGCAGACTGCAACATTGCCGGCTGCTTGAAATAAAGCCCGAAGGCACATGACATAATAAGCTCCAGACGTGGGAAATCTCAGAAGAGAAATCAGAGGCAAGGGAAAAAGAAGAAAAGGAGGGTGACCAAAAGGTCTAAAAGCCAATGAAAGAATCAGACATGCAACCACAGAACAGGATGAGTGTCAAAAAGAATAACAGAAAGTTAACCAAGTACATAATACAAGTTATAGAAATCAAGATACAAGGTACAATCCATATACAATATGCAAGATACAACCTACAAAAAGATTATATACAAATACAATTCAACAAAACAAGTGACAAACTTACATATGCAAAGTAGCTATCAATACAAGTACAAAATCAAGAAGAAGTGATATCTGAAAAAATGTTGAAGTAGAGGCAACTACAACCAAGGAGCTAAGTAACAAAATTTTGATCGCCATCGATGATAGTATGTGCAGCAAGAGGTCTGATGTTTTTGTCTTCATGAAGAATCTCATAATTAAATACTTGAGAGTAGTTTACGAAGTCACAGGATATGGCCTTGGTAAAGAATTTCTCATTTGTTCTAATGAATTCCGTAATACTTTCTTTCTTTAAGTCCCAGTGAAGAAGCTAATTTCTGACAAGATTATCGGCATCAGTAATGATTCGCAGAAACTTGTTCTGAACCACTTGAAGCTGGTAAAGTTGATTTTTCATTGCAGTGTTCCATGCAGAGCAGCATAACCCAATATAGGCCTGATTCATGTATTGTAGATGTGTTTCATAGTGCTTAAGCTGAGATTAGAATATTTTCCAATAACAGGTAGAAACCTACTTATGATTCCAATAGCTTTGCTTTTGACACTTTTGATGATGTTTGACCATGTAACTCTTTTATTCAAAATAATGCCCAGATATTTTGCATGATTAACAATGGGAACTAGTTCTTGAAATGAGTAATTCTTTGAAGTTGAAACGTTGCCTAGTTTTGCTTAGAATAAGTAGCTGAGATTTGCTTGCATTGATTTTGACATACCAGTCGGTACACCAGTCTTCTATAGTGTAAAGAAAGTTCTGCATCTTAGAAATTGCTTGATTAGCTTTGATAGATTTAATGGCTACATCCATATCATTGGCATAGCAAGCAAGAAGTGAGTAGTTCTCCAGTCCGGGATGTGGGAAATCAAATATGTAAAATAATTTGAGTATGGGACCTAAGCTACTGCCTTGCAGCACACTTTATCAAATAGGCCTTAAAACAGAAGTTTTGTTGCCTTGGGTGACAAAAAAAGTATGCTGTTGAAGAAAAGAGTAGATGAGAAGGATCAGTTCTCTGTGAATGCGCAAGCTGATAAGTTTGAAGATGAGCCCCTCATGCCAAACACGGTCGAAGGCTTTCGCCATGTCTGACATAAGGATCACCAATACTTTGTTTATTGTTGAAGGTGGCTCCAACAAAAGGTTTTGCAGTTTATCTTTTATTTTAAATGACAAATGTTCACAAAGCCCTGCAACTGAGTCTAATGCTGTGTATATTTGACTCAGGAGAAATTAAATTGTACGAACAACTAAAATATTGTTTCTGTATTTAAGACATTAGTTTTGTTTGAATCATACTAATGAATGTAAGAACATTTTAAATGAAATCATCATCAAAAGTAAATTACTTGTAGTTATAAATCTTAAGAATGAACAGTTCTCTGAAATACAGCTTTTCAAATTAAAAATGGTTGAGCAACTTTTGATTGGTTCTACTATAATTTTTGTGTTGTGTGTATTAATTTTTAAATTGCTCATAATATATTTAGTGTTATAATTTTTATATGAGGATGTTTTGTTATGTTTTGAAATATTTTGAATTATTTGTTTAAATTTGGAAAGTAAAGAATTTCTTAATGTTATATAAAGTACTCTAAATTCAACTTTCAGATTTATTAAAAAGTATCGTAAATTAATATCGTATGATTTTTTTTATTATGAAAATAGTATAGTAATTTTCTTTTCATTTTTTGTAGATTGAAAGAAGCAAAGCATTTACCTCAAGATGAATAGGTAAATAAAATTTCTGAAGCAGATGATTGTAATTCTGGCATGGAGCCCACTGTTGCAACTCCTAGAAAATTTCATGTAAATAGATGTATAGATAATTCACCAGTATTTTTTACTGGTCTCACAAAAACTTTAGAACAAAAAGTAACATTACTTTGTGTGAAATGTAACAGAATTAACAATAATGTAGATGGTAAAGATACTTGTAGCACTTGTTCTAGCAGTGTTCCTGTAACTCAAAATGGTGATCATTTTGAACAAAGCTCCAATGAAGTATGTTCATTGACAATTTCTGGACCTTCACTTTCAGAACAGGTCTTCCATATTGGACCAAAAATTGAGAATACCAGGTGAGTACAGTAGAACTTTGATAAGTCAAATTTTTGATTACTCAAAAGCATTTTTTTTATGATTCCTTCAGTTTCAACTTAATGAAGTTGAACTGTAAACAGAGTGATTCGATTAAGTGTCTACAATCTTCATTAAGGGATAAGTTACTCTGATTCAAAATTGCATAGCAATGTAGGCATGGAAATGCAGTCTTCGTGTGGTAGTGTTCAGAGAAGGAAACACAAGAAGACTTAGGTGCAATATGTCACTTGATTCAGGCTCCTGGGTGATAGTCGCATCCTGTATAGAACATCATAGCACTCACATAACTTTTGGTAACATAACATGAAGTTGTTCATGAGTGAGAATGAATTTCTCAGAGGTGCGTGAATAAGTCTTCGTATCTAAAAGTTACTCCGGTAACAATGTCGCTGAAATAATGGAAATAAAAACACAAGAAATAAAAGAGACAGTGATGTGAATAATATTTTAATCAGCAAATCTTTACAGTTACAATATTCAGCGGTCAGAGTAAGTGTTTGAAGTTACAGCCTCCAGCTACGATACAAGCCTGACACCGGCACAGCATATAATCACAGATTTTTTGGAATATAACAGAAGTCTTATAGATGATTGATTGCACTTACTGTGCTAAAGCATGTGACTAGATCCTCCTCATTGGACACAGGTGTTTTGTACTCCAGCTTTTCAGGTAATCCTATAGAAAGGAAAATCTAGGCAGAACAGGTCCATTGAACGTGCACACCGAAGAATAGGACCACCATAAACAATCCATCTTTGACCAAATGTAGAATTTACTGAACAGAAGGAGTAAAATTAGCTGGGGTGCTATCATACCACCTATCTTGGTGCTACAGTTACTGGATGCTTTCCTTGTCTAACAATCCAGGTAAGACTTCCTCCAAGAAAATCTTACAAGGCCAGTCATCCAAATGAGCAGGCATGAGATATGGGCCTATCAGATGATTGCCAACAATGATAGAAAACTAAATACGGATAGAAAACCAGTGTTGTGCTGTATGTGCTTAAGTATTCCTGATGTTGTTCACTGCCAATACATGTGTGTAATGGGTGCTGTAGCAGCCCTCTCTGCTGAAGTATACTTTGTCAATGAGCAGGACAGCAGCTAGAAAATGGGGTTCCGTTGAACACTTCTGCTTGTATCATTTAGTAAATGCAATTCACAGTGCATAATCTGCAGAAAACAGCTACTCTACATACTACTCATACTATGGATTTGAGTTGAGAATTCTTCAGATGATGGTTTGGGAATAGCGAGATTTGTAGCGATCACTTGTATGCTCATATGTAGATTTCTTTCTACATAGCATGTACCTCAAACTACTGGTGTCCAGGCCATTCATTCCCAAATTCTTTTTATTCTAATTTAGAGTGCTTATAATGTGTTTCCACCCCTATATAGCTACATACTTCCAAATTATCTTTGAGTAACCTGACCCTGTCTGAATTTTGTACGTGCAAGCAAATCACCCTATGTAGCTGTTCAAATGATGTAGGTTCAAACGTATTTTTTGTAAAATTTGTAAATGTTTGTTCAAAATGTTCAAATGTAAATTAGACATATTTCTTACTAGACACTTGAGAAATAATTTTGAAATAGATAACCTGGACTGTTATAATATGTGTGTGAAAGAGCTTTTCGTAATTTAAAAGCTTGAAAATGTGAACAGTATTTCATTCTTTTTCTTGTATTTTCCTTCTTTCATTTTTCAAATATCTTGTTTGTATAGTATTTTATTTTATTATTCTCTGTAGCACTATTTTCGGATTTTCTTGTAAGGGAGCTAGCTAAAATAGTTTTGCTTGTAAAGCAAATAAATGATTCAACTTGGAATTTCTAATTCAGTGTTAAACAGCAGGCTGTGTGAAATCTGAGCTGTGTCAAACTATTAAAATTATCAGATGCAAGGAGGAAGTAAACTGAATGAAAGGAAAATATTAAAATCTTGAATTAAAAACATAGTAAAGCACAGCTTGTGAGCCAGCAGTTGGCACAAACTTCTATCCTAGCATTTTAGTGAATTCTGCTTTTGTGGTCAACAGAGCTCTAGAAATAGAAGCACATTTTTAATCTCATAGCTTGAAACCATTCTACAACTTGAAACCGTACAAGAGCAATTTCAATATCTTTCTATTTCGTATCCTTTTGCATTTACTTGCAACATTTGTATTTTTTTTTTTTTTCTTAGTTCTTTGTTTAATAAATTGCACAGTGCTGTTAAGAAAATTTCCATTTTAAATGTATCTTCTCTCTGACTGCATAGTTGCAAAATGCATCATAATCTTTTAACAGTTGATTCTTTTCTTTCAGGATTAGATCTGTAATTAGATATTTTTGACATGTTGCAAGTTACAAAGGCAGTAAATAAAGATAAAATAAATAAATAAATAAAAACATTTTTTGATTTATTTGAATTCAAAATTCATGTTTTTAGGCAGCATTTTGTTAAGTCCATCTCATGCTTCATAGGCATAACAATTGCATCCTTTACCTCTTCAGCGTATTGTGAGCATGCCCTTTTGCATTCAAAGACTGATTATGTGCGATAATGCAGAAAAGCATTTTATGAAGTTTTCATGTAAACTTAATTTGCATTGTTCAACAGGAAGATTTTGAATGTAGTAGATAAATCGCGGTGCCTTTTTTTCAATTAAATGTTTTTCAGTGGTGCCCTAGCTTGAGTAAAAGTATTACTATTCATAAGTAAGAGATAAAAAGGAATAAAACTTGTGTATCTTTATTATTTAACTTTTTTTTTTTTTCCTTTATTAGCATTACGTTAATAATTAATGTGATGGATGAGCCTGCAAATTTTCTGAAATCATGGATTTAAACTGGACACAGCCACCCTCATTTCTTTTTGTCCTATACTTGCTTTTTATTACAGTGACTGCCCCAAACCCATTTTTGCACAAATACAATGTCAAAAAATTGAGTTAAAATCCACTGAACCTTATCACTTACAAGATGATATTCATCTTTTATTGAAATAAAAAAATTCGGCAATTTAAATTTAGCAGCAATTCCATGCTGCTAAATTTTGCTTTTAAAATGTTGTGCAAGATAACTTGGTAAGATTCTGTTCTTCCACAGAAGTAAATTCAAATATAGCACTAAAGTTAGACGGATCTTGAATACATGCAACCCTATCGAAATTTTCATTTTGACATCCACTGAAAGGCATCATGCCTTTTTTTTTCCATTTTCATTTTAGAATTTGAAGGTTGTACACGCAATGTGGAGTTTTTGCACTTCTCTTATCTTAGCAAAAACAGGTTATTATGTACATAGGGAGAACAGCAATGCAAAAATTAGAAATGTGTGCATGCCCTGTATGAAAAAAGAATATAAAAAAGGCAGCACTGGAGGCATAATTGAAATAGATGTAAAGATACCCAAACAAATGCTTCCTTTCAAAGCCAGCAACAAGTTCGCAGCTTTTCAGTAAGGATACAGATAATGAGTAAGCAGCCCCCCCCCCAAAAAAACACTAATATAATAGTTTAGTAACTCGTAAGGATTCATGATACATTTTGCATCAAGTTCATCTATTACAAGAAAAGTAATATAAAATTTCTTAAATAGTTTTGTAATGGCAGTTCTTAAGATACTTCTTTTCTTTTTTAATATGAAAAACAATTAAAATGTAATATATGAGAAAGCTGTCTTAAAATAATTCATATCTATCTTGTAAATAATGTATATCAGTGTTCTTTTGAATAAATTATTAAAAACAAGATGGCTGTTAATTAGAAAGAAACTCTTACTGGGAAGTGTGTTTATTGGAAGCCTGGCGTTTTGAACACAAGATGTATCAGGTAAGAGATTTTATATTACTTTTTGTAATAGATGAACCTAATGCAACACCACACTTATAAGTTTTTCTTGATGAAAATCAGTGATCAGTTAATATGTTAAATGTGTAGATAGAAGATTTATTTTATAGCTTTTGTTGCAAAAATTAGGTACGAAAATGCAGATTGATAAAAATATATATATTATATTTCTATGAACATAATTTTAAATATTTTTGGTACTTTTTGATTAACCACTCCCACGCGGAAAGTTGGTAAACCATTGCTGACTTTGTAAATTGGTAAAAAACACTTGTTCAACTGATTTATGCCTCATAGGTATTGTTCTGTTCATAAATAATAATAAAGCATTTTATAAGAAATAAGGCATTTTAAGAAGTAAAACAGAAATTTATGTGGCCAGTACTTAAATTTTTAAAGACGGTAGATAATATTGAACAAAATAACTGTTAAATATAATGCATATAAATCCATATGCACTCAAATATATGCATGGTACATGTATGTGTATGCTAGCTTATATCAAGGATATACATTGGAATAAATAATATTGTATCAATTTTATTAAATGACACCTGATTTTTCGAAACTTATTCCAGAATGTTTTCCAAGAAAACATTCAGTGTTATTGTGATGTAACTACACAATCGAATTCTGTCTGAATTTAATATTTTTTGTAAAAAAATACTTTTAATCATAAAATTTTGACCTCAAGGTACATTATGTCTATTAAAATGGTACGTTACTAAAACGTTTTCTGATAAGCAAAATTATATTGATATGCAAGTAGTAGTATTGTAGTTAAATTAGTATTTGATGAACTTTATAGTGGTCTCTTTCTCTCTCTTGCTCCGTATATATATACAGTACAAAGTCCATTATCCGGAATGATCTATAATCTGGACCTCAAAGCCACAAACTTTATGCATGTGTGTAGAGAATGCGCATACATTATGCGCATATGCTTTATGCATGCGTGCTTTGAAAGAAATGTTTAATAAAGTAAAATAAATATCAATCTTCTTTTTTTTAATTTTAATTTTAATTTTTATTTGATATCCTTTACCTCATAATTAATTTTTATTTCATAAATTAAGGTTTCATATTTTTAATAGTATAATTTCTGCATCACATCTTACCAGATTTAAATCGATGATCTATAATCCGGAATCGCCGAAGTCCCGACGAGTCTGGATTACGGACTTTGTGCTGTATTATGTACAGGGTGTACCGTAATGTTGCGACAAACTTCTGGAGAAGGTAGGGTACATCATAAGGATTAAGAATTGCATAGTAACCTGTACCCAGAAATATCAGGTGCAAGTGGTAGGAGGTAAAAGATGTCAAAGAAAAGAAGTGAGTGATTAAATTTTAAACATTTATTGGACATGAATACAAATGGTATTTCGACAGCTTGAATGTTACAACAGATGCTCGAAGTTTGCACCATCAGATGCCAAACATGCCTGACACCAACGGACCATTGATTGCTGACCATGTTCAAACACACTGGAAGTTTTTTTTAGTGTCGTAGGCGAGTCTTGCCACGAGATCCATTTCAGACACAACAAGATCGTGATACAAGACACTTTTGATGTCTCCCCACAAAAAGAAATCAAGGCTCAATACAGGCATGAAAGTTTTCTGCGTTTTCACGGAATCCACTTTTTTGAACATCACCCGGGCTGTTTCTGAGATCGATGTAGAACCGTTCAGTTCAGAAATCGTGACCAGCAAATGGGGGGGGGCAGGTAAACGAAGGACACGCTTTCTTCTTCTTTTCTTTGTAAAAAAACTGTACGTCGTGCCAGAGATCGCGAAATACGTTGTTTTACATCAAGGCGAAGTAGGTGGGGCTTATGTGGAACGGCGGAACTAGATGCGTACGAATATCGAATCAAAGAAGAGCAAGCAACCGCCAAACGAGAGTTGACTTAAATAATTTTCAGCGATCGGTGCTGGCGCCATCTGTCAGACATACGGTAACCACTTGCATTCTCCAGTACACAAAACTCTATGTAAATTTAAAGAATGCTCATAAACTGTACAAAGATGAGCTAGAGATAAAAAAAGAGGAGTGAGAATCTAAAAAAAAGCAATTAAACATTGCCGAAAATAAAGTGTGTGTGTGTGATTATGGCAAAGCCGAGAGAGCTATCTGCCTAAGATGAGAGATGCCTTCGTGGAGAACTTTCTAAGGGAAACTGGCCCATACACTTTACACATGGGGAAAATCACGAAAACGCCCATGCAGCCAGCCCGTTCACGGAATTCGAACCTCCGACCGAACTACCAGTGTTCTGCGGCTTTACCGCTCGGCCACTGGTGGGCCGCAGAAAAATAAAAAAAGTATCAATGGATTGTATAAAAGTTGCTGAAAAAAAAATTTAAACTAATTCGCAAACGGAAATTAGAAAAGTTGACTGCAAAAGTAGCAAAAAAGAAAAAGCTTTTTCCCTAAAAAATTTTAATCAGGATCGAGTGAGATGGACAAAATAGTTATTTTTTAAATTCCTCCTTTAACTATATGTTATGTTATTTTGTAACTACGATATTATCTTACATGACTACTTTTCTGGTTTATAAAGTACTGTTTATAAACTTAAAGTGAAGATATTGAAAGCTATAGTAACAGTTATATATATATATATTATCTCTAAAACTTGTCATTGCTGGAAATGGGCAGTAATATATAACATAATATGTATATTAGTGTGTTGTAATGTTGTGTACGGTATTCATGTATCAAGTTATATAAAGAGCATCTTAAAGAAGGTTAATTCATTACAATCTCTTGGCGATTTACTGATTTTTTTTTACAAGTGGAAGATAAAATTAATAGCAAAATAGTAAGTAAATTATTTTAGTTTAATTATATGTATATGTTTAATACTTTTTATATTAAAAGGTTGATATTTTATTAAAATGTGTTTTTTTAGGTCGTGTGTGCGTATTTAGTTTTTGTGCAATTTTGTGTCCGTGCGTTCTTCAGCTTTTTTTGCCAACTTGCACTTTCATGCCTGTCAATAAATTCAGTGAGCATGGGGGGCCAGGGAACCGGTCCATCACACCCAATCCATCAGTGCAGAAGTATCTGCCCAGATGGCTGCGAATGTCCAGTTCAAAATGAGTCCACTTTCTAATGACCCGTAGTCGCACAAATTTTGATGGAGACATGCGAACAAACTGTGGTGTGGTTGATGTGTGTCGGGGAAGCGTTGATAAATGTGTGCTGTGGCTTAGCTATTCCATACACTAAGTGCATGACTGCAAGCTCTCTCCATGCATTCCATGCTCTTTGTATGGTGCCTACCGCTCGAATGAGGCAATCCTCACTTTCCACTAGTGCACTCCTGTAGAGCACCCTCTGGCGGCATACAGTGACGATTCAGGGCATGGGTTCCTATGCAATTCTTAATCCTTATGATGTGCCCCCCCCACCTCCCCTAGAAGTTTGTCGCAACATTTATGGTACACCCTGTGTATATCAAAAAGTAAAATCTGCTGAAGAGGAACAGATTTCATAAAAATATTCTGTTCTAGTTTACATCTTTTCCCGTATCATATTTGCAGCTGTGATGTTTGCTGAAATAGTACTGTTTAAAGAAGCGTTTAACAGAGCAGTGCATTCATAAAACATCTGATTGATATATTTTTCTGAAATCTTTTCATTAATTTGAATTATTTTTTATTGAAATTTCTTTTAGAAGGAAAGCTCTCTTACCTCTTCCTGAAAGCATTCCAGATCCTTCTTGTCTTACAAATGATAAAACATCTCCTGATAAACCTCCTAAGAATAATCATGAATTTAAGGTAAGACAAAATATCTAGTAAATGAGATTTTGATTTATATCAAAAGATAAAATTTTTAAATCATTTTTAATTATTCCATTGAAATTGGCAGAGATAGAACAGGCTTTCTCAGACATTTGACTTAAGTCAAATGTCTGAGAAAGCCTGTTAGGCTAATCTTGAATTCCTCTATTTAATTTATTACCTTGAAATGTTAAGTTTATTAGTTGTGCTGATACTTTAGCAGCTCAATATTTTGTCGATTGGAGTTGTTAAAATATCAAACACAACAATTTAAGTATTGTTGTATAGGTGTGTACTGATACTTTAGCAATTCATTTCATCAAATACCTGAGTAGCTAAAGTATCAGCACATCTGTACAACAATATTTAAATGTAGAGCAGTAAGCATAAATATGCAGAATGAAGTAAGCTTTCTAAACAATTCTATAGTGCTAACTTAATTTTGATAGTAAACACTGATGTAAACAGATCATGTTTGCAAACACGCCCTAAAAGAACGTCATCTACATCACACTTTATCTACTGCAATATGTTATGTCCTGAAACATGATGTCTGTACCCATTACAATAAATAATGCCATAAAACATGCACCTGTACAACTATGTATCACTATATGTATCATGTAATGTAATACATTTTACTTGATCTAATTTAACGTCCGGCAGTGGCAGAACTTGCAGTGTTGGCTGGAGTCACAATTTTACCACGACTTGAAACCACCGGAAGGTGGTTGTTTTTCTAGTCAGTGTGTACAGCTAATGTCTACTTACTTCAGGTAAATATTAGGTGACCGCTTCACTTCTACGTAACATAACACCACAAGCAGTGGTCTATATGATAAGCACAAGGTGTACTCTTGTAAATAGTTTTCTTGGATAAAAGGTTTCAACCTTTATCCTTATTCTGTTATTGAACATCAGGTTTATTAGTGTGTTTGGCTTGGTTTGGTGTATGTGAGCATGGCAAAGCCTCGAGGGCTGTCTGCCTGAGGAGAGGAATGTCTTTGTGAAAGACTTTCTAACAGAAACTGGCTCGTATACAAATTACACATGGGGAAAACTACGAAAACACCCATGCAGCCAGCCCGTCCGTGGGATTCGAAACTCGAACTGAACTACCAGTGTTCTGCTACTTCACCGCTCGGCAGACTCTGTTGACTAATGAGAAGTCACCAGCAATCTTACAGAAGGTCATTGACAATTTGCATGCTTCCATGAACAATTAGATGTTATAACTTGTTTGTTAGCTCCATTTTTTGAAGCTAACATTCAAACATAAAATTAAATAAAATTCTAAGTATTACTGAGGTTAGTTTCATAAAAAGTTTCTATTGATTTCAAGAGAAAAAAATTTTGAGCATTTGTTGAGATAAGCAGTATGCATAACAACTTACGTATATTACATTCTAAACGTGAAGAAAAATTTTTCATTGGTAGAACATATCTCATCTAAGACTTAATAATTTATTTTTGATTCGCAAAACTTTCTAGACATTGTTCCTTTGAAAATAAATCTGAAAAAAAAATTAAAATATCGGAACAAATAAATAATTAGTTAGATGAATAAAAATTAATAAAAAAATAAAATAAAATCTGTACATCAAGAAAGCGTCAGTCATCCAATTCTTAAGCTTTTCATGTAGGCACAAGGCTCATCAGCTGCCAAGTAGTAAAAATGCTGGTAGCTAGGTCCGGGGTTCAAATCCCAATGAAAAGGCTGACTGCATGGGCACTTTCGTGGTTTTTCCTTGCGTAACATGTGTACGAGTGAGTTTCCTTTAAAACGTCCTCCACGAAGGCATGCCTTCCCTTGGCTTAGTGCCATTTCGTCCGTTTTCTTTTCATGCCGACTTCGAAATAGTGTCATTTCTCCGTTGCCTTTCGCACATATTCTGCCTTTCCCATTTCATTCGCTGTTTGAAAAGTCACTTTATGATTAAGAAAAGATATATTCAGACAAAATGACCCTTACTACTTTGACCTGACTTAGCCTTTGAGTTCTAATACTTATTAAACATTTTCTTTAGATAAATTTATTCCGAGCAGAATAATGAATTTCAGACATGCTCAAGGAGTGTGTTTTTGAATCTAATTCCATTTTTGTTATATAGTGTCCATTTTTTTAATTTCACATACTTCTAAAGAAATAGAACCTCTGTTCCTCTGCTTTGACAGAAAATTAAAAAGTAGCAAGCGTATAATAAAGATGTACATGTTTTATTAAAAATATAGTGAGCCCTCTATAAACGCAACCACTCACGGTTTTAAAAATTACTGTAATTAAGAGCACTGTGATTTTGGTTGTAGATATGGTGGTCTTAGAAATATGATATTCACTGGCAATGTTTGTTTATGTTGACCAAAAATACAGGTCTCTTTGAAAAGGCGACCTCTTAGAAATGTTGTCAATAGATATAATTCACTATAATTATTTTCTAATGGATAATGGATTTAATTTAATTTAATGTCAATTAGAAAATGGCTATTTACAATAGGGATATTTAAAAGCACTATAACTGTAATTAAGAGCACTCTAATTTTTCTTTCACAATCACCTGTTATATATGATTAGCTGCGTTCTGTGTATTTTTCATGTTATATAACTGAAATCCATACATCTTGAACAAATATACAGCAAATGCAAGACAAATTATTAAAAAATTATAATTTGAAACATTAATACTAAATTTCTCTTACTAAACATATTATTAATGAATGATGGATTTATATAATATGTATACTTCGAATCTAAAAACGATGAACTTTGAATCAGATGACTCTATAAATATATATTTATGTAGTTACAAAATTTTATTAGATGTATGCATAGTTCTTTGTAATCTTCACAATCTCTAATAAAATGCTACATATTTATTACTATAGTTTGAGGTGATTGTACTTAAATTTGTAGATATGTTGACTTATAAGAGTTGTTCCAACCCCCCCCCCAAATAAATAAAATTAAAATTAAAAACACTATTCCAAATTGCTGTAGTTGAAAGATTAAGAGGTTACATTTGGAATTCATTTTCTGTCAGGGTGTCAGTTTTAATTTATTCAGAAATCTAAAAGAAAATATCTCTAGAAAATTGCCAAATTATAATTGTTACATTCAAAAAAGCTTTCAGTGAGAAATATGTTTAACCTTTAATAATAAGCTCAGTCTAAAGTAAAGAATGAAATATATCTTAGCCAAGTTCTCATTGTGCTTGACTGTTTTAATATTCCTAAACTAAAAAGGAACTAAAGGAAAAACTAAAAAGAAATCAAATAAAATTTAAGTGTTTTCAATTAATAAGTTAATAGTTTTAATAATGAAACGTAATTATAATTAATCTCAGCCATATTACCTTAAAAATGGCATGGGAGAAACTCCACAATGATATTTTTCATTTTCACATACGCATACCAAAGTTAAATAAGTAAATAAATAATAAAATGCAATTTCAGATTTATCATCGAAACATTATAGCTAATCACTTAATCAGAGAGTAGAAAGTTTGCTTTCAACCTAATAAATTAAACAAATAAAGTAGTGATAAAATATACAAAGAGACATATATTTGAGACATTAAAATTCAGATCTGAATACTCCTTTATTATAATTAAAATTATAAATACACAGTTTAGTAATAAAAAACCATAAGTCCCTTTTGATTATGTGCGCTTTTATCAGTGTGGGCTTTCATCAGCGTGGGCTTATATCTATGTGGGCTTTTATCAATGTGCGCTTTCATCGCTGTGGGTATTAGTTGCATGGGCAATTATCCCAGTGGGGTCTTTTTTGTGGGCTTTTGTCGCATGTGCTTTCATCCTGTGGGCTTTTGTCTGGGAACCGTCGATATGCAATACACATCTCTACAAACATTCTGCACAGCATGGCAATCCATGTATGGCCTGACTGGTTGCTTGATCTCTCGTTCATACACATCTGGGACATGGTTGGCTGCCAGTTTTAGCCATTGGGAAATATGCCTGAGCAAGGGGTGCAGTTACATTAAATAATCCCCTAGGACAGCATTAGGTGTTTGTATGCATTTATGTCATATTGCATTTCCACATGTAATGATACCCTTGGTGCCTTAACCCATAGTAGCCTGTAATAATTCTGGACCGCTCTTGAAGCAATAAATTATGTTACTCATTCTACAATTGTTCTCATGTTTTCCTAATTATCTCTTTCACATGCTGTCTTGGTTAGTGATGCTGGCTGTCTTATTATTCAGCTCTGGTTTGAATCCTTGAGAAGGCCAGGACGTTTGTATTGCATCTGTGCAGCATGGAGGCACTCAAAACACTGGTGAGCTAAAAGTATTTTGTATGGGTTTGGTACTGAAAGTGGAGAAGAGGAGTAGAAGATCCTCAGCTCTTATCCCTTGAGGTTTCTCCATTAAAATGAGTTGGAGCTGTGCATTGAAGTGCATTACACTGACTATACATGTAAAACCATTGATAAAGTGTTGGTGTCCTGCCCTCCTCTTACTGTCCTGGTTTATCCATGGACCAGTTTCATCATGATCTACCACATTTTCCAGGTTTTCTCTTTTTTTTCACAGATGGGCATTGCTGTTTATATATAAGCAATTAAAGTATCATATTAGCTTGAACTTAAGATGTTTTTTCTATAAAATACTCTTCTGGAAGTCATTGCCTTATAAAAAATGCATTTAATGCTATATATCAAAATAATTTATTACTTATCTCCTTAATTTTTATGTTAAACTTATTTATTTAATTTACTTACAGTCCGTGATTATCACCCATTTTATTACCTTTTTTGTGAAAAACTTTTAGCATTTATAATCAGGCTAATATAGTGATTTTTCCCATCTAAAAATGTGTTATATTATTTTCCTTTCATTTATGCACAAATCATAACATCTTCAACTTATTGTTTCAATATTGTGGAAGTATAATGTACTGAACGGCCAACATGTAAAACAAAATCACGATTTACAATTTTTTTCGTATATAAATTTTTTAATGGACCATGCATTGAAGGTATTCAGAGTAATTAAATCTCTAATTAGATTTTTATCTTAATATGAAACCTAAATTTTACATGTAAATTAATATAAAGATAACATGATAATTTTCTCTTAGTAGGACACGACATAGTTTTGAATTTGAATATTGGAGCACAGCAAAATTGAACTAAATGGCAGCAACCATAATGATGAAAATTTTATGGGGGGAAAAGAAAAAACTGTACAAAATTAGTATTCCAAAATAACACAGCAATAAATTATACAGAGCATATGCAGAACGGGATTTTCATTTTATTGTAGTAGAAAAGTCTTACGTTTTAGGATTTACTGAAATTTTATAAATCCATTTACCAGCAGTCATCTGATGGCAGATTACCTTGCATTGTAAAAATAAATATATATATATATATATTGGTTTTATATTCTTTTATTGCGATTTAATTGTTAAATTCAAACTTGTAAAATAACAGATCATGTAGCTAACAAACTGGTAATCTGGTGTTTGTTTTATCTTTTATTTTGTATTAAAAACATTATTTTACTGAACAAAATTAAAGCTGCTTTATATATATTCAATTGAAATTATAGGTTTGAAACTTACACAATATCTAAAGTTTATAGAATAGAAACATGGCGCTTAAATTAAAAGATTTTCCACTTCGCAATATCTAAATTCTATAGAATAGAAATTTAGTGCTTAAATTAAAAGATTTTGCACTTACTTGAAACATAAGTTTTAAGATTATTGTTTTATAATACTTGGACAAAGGCAGATATTTTAAATTTTGTACTCTTCCCCCCCCCTTGTCAATTTGTTGAATGTAATAATACTAATAATAATATAATATTTTTATTTTCCGATTCAGAACAATATGGATAGTAGTTTGAAGAGGAAAGGCGACTATGAAAGCCCAACGAAGAAGTTTAGGTCGTCCTTTTGTAGTCCATCTACTCCAATTTCTAATCGTAATATTGAGGTATGTTCCAAATTAAAGCATTTTTTAGAAGTAAAAAAATTACTCTTTAGTATGTGTTCTATTGGTACTATTCCGTTTTGAGTATCGTCAAAAATTGCAGCAAAAATGTATGCACAAAGCGCCAAATCTAGCAAACGCGCCCATTTAACAGCGCACCAAATCTAGCGTACGCGCTGATTTCAGATTGCATAAGTTTATATAGTTCTATATTTCTTAAGATGCCATTGAAATACTAGTTTAATTTTTAAATCCTTTTTTGATATCCTATGAATTTAGCAATTTGGGAATTGCCCATGACGAAAAGTCTGTAATAGAATTTTGTGTGAAGTGCAGAATCAATCACTGCTTGACGCGTTTTTAAGAATTGCACATACTCGGTATCCATGTACATATCGACCTATTTTCACTTTAAAAAAAATCCCAGAATTGCACAAAAATGGCACTTGGCACACCCTTGACTTTATCTATGTACACATCGACCTATTTTTACTTAAAAAGTAAAAGAAAATTGTCAAAAATCCAATTGTTTTTACCCTTGTAAAAGGCAGCAAACAAATAAGGGGTGATTCTGCACTTAACCGAGAATTTTTTTAAAGAAAAAGCATCATTTATTATAGAAAATTATGTTTGAACAACCAATGAGATAAAATTATGCTTTAGCGATAACTTGGTAGCGAAATAGCGATGCAGGCATCCATTCAGTTATGTTTAGCAATTTTTATATAAATTATAGTAATGATCTGAAATAGTTATTTACTCTTATGCTTCCATTTAGCCATATTTAGCCTTTTTACTTCCTTGTAAGAAGTAAAAAGGAAGTATTGTAATCGCGAAAAGTTTCAGGCAGCATATTTCAACGAAAATATCCATTTTGACTGCTATCAAATGCAATTTAACGATGCTTTTGCATGATATCTGTACGTAAGGACAGAATAAAAGACTCTTTTCCTTCAAAAAAATTATAAAACTGCTTTAAAATTAATTCTGAAGAGAATTTTTCGTGGCGTCTGTACGAACGTACATACGTATCTCGCATAACTCAAAAACAAGTAGCCTCAGAACGTTGAAATTTTGTATGTAGGACTGCTATAACATGTAGATGTGCACCTCATATTTTGGTTGCAATTGGTCGCACCAAACGTATATAAATATATTTATATGTATATCCACTCTGTTACCCGGCTCAGTGATCTCAGGTTCTTTACTCTTATATGTTGGTAAATTGTACATTTTTTGCTTTAAAAATGATTGAGTTATTTTGTTTTTATCTTCCGGTTGAGGATTTTATGCCTTTAGTAAATCTGTGTGCAATATTTTTAGAATTATCAGCAATTTTAAAGTTGTTAATTGCTGCTAAGCCTTTTTTAATGGCAGCCATTGGTGTTTACATTTGAAACAGGAGACTAGTGGATGTGTTGCTAATCTAGGAAAACTTAGCTTCGCAACAACGAAGATAACGCCTTCATTTATTATTTAAATCATGCTTAATCCTTTCTGGAATTTTTTCGAGGAAATAAGCGTTTAAGATTTACTTTGTAATTTTTAATATAGATATTTTGAGTTTTTATATATTTTTGCCTTCTTGCGAAGTGAGAACTGAATTAATTAAATGAGAAATACTCAATCATCTGTGAAAAACTGTTTCTTTTTTGTTTTGTTTGCTTAATTTCTTTTATACATCATTCTAGCTTTATTATAGTATTTGAATAGAACATGTGCAACGATTAGATAATTCTATTCTTTAAATGATATAAATTTTGTGCATTATGAGGTATAATATGAACGAAATATATAAGTTAACTGTTATATAATTATTGGATTATATGACAGTTAACTTAGTTTCTGTTATAAAATTATTATATAAGTTAACTGTTATATAATTATTAATGCTGTTAAGTGAATCTAGCACCAGAGTGTCCCTATGATAAAAAAATACTAGAGTGAATTTTAAAGTATGCATTTATTCTATTGTGGTTTATGTGCTGTCGGCAAAGTAGATTTAATTCAATCCAATAAGTTTAAATGAAATGCAACAAAAAATGCGTATAATTTAATATTCCAATACAAGGAAGTCATGTGGTGTACACATCAGATTTTTTATATACCGTATATACCCGCGTAATAAGTCAAGATATTTTGGACAAAAAAAAAAGACTTCAAAGTGGGGGGGGTCGACTTATACGCAGGGCCATAAAAAATTAAAAGAATCAGAAGTTCAAAAATTTCTTTATATAATGCAGTTGTTTTCTTCCTGCACTCAAATTGGACGACTTATCAAATAAGTCACTTACTTGAAGTAATTTCATGACTTAAATTATGTGACGAACTAATCACAGAGTTTCATACTTTAACTAGAGTAAGTTTCGATTAAAGCAAAGAATTTTTCGGCCCCCGAACAACCGATCAATATTAAGCAATAAAAAAATTTCGCCAACACGCCAAGAAAAGAGAAATGCAAATAGTCTTGTAATGTATTTTGCAGTAATTTACAAAACAGACAATCTTCTTAGTAGAACATATATTTTATTTCTAGTTCACAGTGGTAGACAAATTTCATACAATTCTTAAGTGGCAAAAATTTAACACTACTCCTAGCTGGCAAAATCTTCAGAATACTAAATCTTTTTTAAAACAATATCTCACGTTGCTGAGCAACGGTTTAATACAAATATGGCGTTGCCACTTCAACAATAATTATATTTATTTATTACATAACAAGATATTACAACCTCTCCCCCCTCCAGATAAACTTTAATTTATATTTTCATAAATTAAAGTTTACGGTTTTTAAAACAACAATATCGGCACAACACAGAATTAAAATACAAGCATTTAAAGGAGAATTAAACAAGAAATAACATAATAACATACACTGAAGAAGAGAGGAAGGAACAAAATATTTTTTTTTATCTATATAGAGAAACAAATTATTTAATCAGGCCAGGGAGTACGACTTAATGCGTCTACACTTTTATGGTTTTTACCACTTCGATGAACGATCGTGTAATTGTAGGGTTGTAGTACTAGTGCCCATCTCATAAGTCGTGGATTTAGACTCACATTATTTTTGAGCCAAACTAAGGGATTATGATCGGTCATGATGAGGAATTTAGTATGCCCGTCTAAATAACATTGAAGTTTCTTTACAGCAAATATTATGGCGGTGCATTCCTTTTCTGTGGTACAGTACCTTTTTTCAGTTTCTGTAAACTTCTTACTGAGGTATAATACTGGATGTTCATTGTCTCGTTCATCTTTTTGAGCTAAAATTACACCCATACCAGAGTCTGAAACATCAATTTGCAAAATAAACTCCTTATTGAAATCAGGCGAGTGTGACAAAGGCTTTTGTGGCAGTTTTGCTTCTTCACAACTCGCTCTTGTCTGTTTAGTTTCTCTAAAAACTTCTCTTTGACTTGCATCTCAACTCCAGAACTTGGCAATTCATCTGGAACTTTTAACTGAGAATCGTTTAATTTTGTCAGTTCTTTCTTGTAAGATAGTTTTTGCTCTTTGCGAGATGAATCTCTGTTCTTATCTGCTACTTGCACTCTCATTGAATGTGGCAACTTTGAGTATCCTTTATCATGTTTGTGCCTCTTTGCTAAGTTTTCTGACGTGAACATAGATTCTGAACATATTTTTAATTTCTTAGCTTTAGAAGCACCTTCATGAGTTCTTTTATCAGAAGTTCTTTGATCTGCTGTTAACAAACTGTCAAACACATCTTTGGCTTTTTGGAGAAGAAGAGAACTGGGGAACTTGTAGGAGGAATAATCACTCACACATTATCCATAGAAGATGAATCACCAAGGTAAATAAAGGTGAGTCAAACTTCCATATTAAATAACCTTCAGCTTTCTCATCAAGTAGATGAAGCGCTTAGATTGTTGTCAGATTTCCGTGAAGCATTGACAGAAGCCTGACTTTTAGGAGGGTGAATACTGACCAAATTACCCTGAGTTTTAGCACTATTATGTGTTTGGTTCTGGATCAAAGTGGTGTAGTTCTGCATATGATCCCTATATTTTTCAGGAATAACAATTACTTCATTTTCATTTCCATTTTTATCTAGTTTCTTTTTCACCAACAATCCGTTTTCTTTTACTTTGAAATCATTTGTCTTGCTGGAATTTTCATTTTTAGCTTCCTTAAGTAATGACATTAGATCTCTGCTTTGATGCTGAGATTCAATTAATTCCTTTGAATTAACATTAATCACTTTCTTAATTTCCTTGTCTTCCTCATCAGCTTGCGGTAAAATATCTTCGTCAGTTTCAATAAACTTCACTTCTTCTAGTTTCTCCATTTCAATTTCTCTGCTTCGGTCATCTTCATGAGATCTTTTTACTTGAGATCGTGTCAAAACTGCATTTTTTTTTCTAAATTTAAAGAATGATTTATTTTTGAACAATTGGGCAGTTTTGTTACCCAATACATATCTTCCGGGATCATTTGTAACAACAGGCTGCCTTTGTCTTTATATGACCAAGTTCGCAATTAATTTCAACTTCCGCTAACGGTAGACATACTAAATGGTCATTTAAAAGATATTGTACCCAGACATGTTCTCCAATCATTTTTGCGTTATCAATGTATTTTTCCGAGAAATAACATCAACAGTGGCTCCTGTGTCTCGAAGAATAGGCATTTCATACCCATTCACTAAACCGTTAATTGTATATGTCTCTAACAAATCATCATTTGAAGATACGCAATTTACCTTTTCATTTGGTTTTAAGCGAGACACTGAGGCTTAAAATGTTCGTATGATCCGTACTCGAAACAACGTGGTCGATATCTTTGTCATATAAATTTTCTTGGTTTTTGTTTTGGAACTGATTTCCTTTGTCGGATTGATCTTTCTTGTATTTTGAATCATCCCATCTATCAGAATGCTTAAAATGAGGCGGATGCTCTATTTTTTTCACAAAATTATCATAACGCAGTTTAAATGATCCTTTGTTAAATTTCTCAGTCTGATTGGTAGAAAATTTCGGTTTTATTGTTTTTCTCACATCTTCAAAATCTTCAATTTTCTTAACCATTTCAGTAGGTGAAATGATGGGTGTCCATTGATCCATAAAATGTTCTTTGAAATCAGGAGAAGTACGCTTTTTTATTTGATCAACCAGCATGAGATCTTTTAGCTGTTCAAAGTTTTAATGTTTAATCCGTTAAGCCATCCTTCTAAATAATTCTTTAATTCATAGTAGAAATCATACCAAGTACTTTCAGTAGATTTTTGATGTTATTAAATAGTTGTCGAAATTTTTCCGCACTTAATTTAAATCGTTGTAACAGTAAAGTTTTTACATATTCATACTTTTTCGCTTCCTCTTCTGGTTCTCTAGCAATAAGCTGAACAATGTCAGGAGGCAGTAATGAAATAAGTTGAGTCACTTGATTTTCAAGCAGGTATATTCATTATTTTTAGCTTGACGCTCAAATAACACCAGAAATAAATTTATTTCATCTTCTTTAGGGTTGAAACGTGGCATGACATCGTGAATTTCTGATTTTTAAAGGTTTTGCTCAGGTAACTGCCGTAGTTTCAGGTTAATGTTACCGAAAAATGTTACGTGGCTGTTGCAGCCATTGTTTTTCCAGTCACTGCTTAGTTTCTGTAGCTCAAAGGCTCTAATTCGCTGTCTTTCTCTTTCACGCTCTTCTTTTCTTTCCCTTTCTTCTCTTTCGCGTTCTTTTCTTTCTTCTCTTTCGCGTTCTTTTTCTCTTTCTTCCCTTTCGCGTTCTTTTTCTCTTTCTTCCCTTTCGCGTTCTTCTCTTCTTTCTCTTTCGCGTTCTTTTTCTCTTTCTTCTCTTTCACGTTCCTTTTCTCTTCTCTTTCTTTTCTTTCACATTCTTCTTCTTTTCGTTCCCTTTCTTCTCTAATTGCAGCCAGTAGTTTCTCGAGTAAACTCCTCATCATAATCGGGACTTTCAGTAATCAGTTTATGCAATTGAGCAATCTTAAATTCAGGATTTCACGGTTAAACCTAACTCTTCTGCTAGTACTTTTAAATCCTGTTTTTTACTTCCTAGCTAAGAATGACATGTTGACACAAGTTACTTTAATAGGCTTCCTTTTGAAATTCAATCTAAAAGCTCGTACTTGTATTAAAAAATATATAATTTCTGGCGAGATTTAATTTCTCGAATACGAAATTCACACTAACCAATTGGAGAGAATTATTTAAAAAACTTTGCCAGGTTGGCACAAAATAATTTAATACTACGTCGGGTTGACGTTTTAACTCACTATTCACAAGCCTCGTTAGCTATAACTATATAAACACCTTTGCCAGTTAGGCAATACAATGGAATTTTCACACAACGTCAGGTTTGACGATTTTTACTATCTATTCTCCACGCCTGGTTGGCGATAACGAAAACAATTTTAGCCAGTTTGGCAATACAACTTTTCAGAATTATACAATCTGTAATACGTTCGGGATGACGTTACTATCTACCACACGCCTGGATGGCGAGAACTAAGAAAAAGCTTTTGCCAATTCTGCAGTATAATCAATTCACTCTACGTCAGTTTGACGTTATTACTTATTTTCACGCGCCTGCTTGGCAACAAATTCAAAAACTCAGCTAGCAGTTCTTTTTTCTTTTTTTATAAATGCCGGGATGGCTTACACATATCAATTATCAACATAAAATTTCAATACAAATAAAAGTAAAGCATAAATAATAATTTTAAAATACTTCTTTACCACGAATATCAATTATAAATTTAAGCTGAATATTTTTAGTGTCAGTTATTTTAAACAAAATCTTACACGATAAACTATAATTCTGAAATAAAGTATTAAAATTCAATAAAAGCTTTTTCAAGAAAACCAAAATTTAATCTTATCTTCAGAGATCAGCAGTATCCTATTTTTGACAGTTTTTGCTCGGACGCAAGTTACAGAAGCACAGAAGATAACCTTTGAATGATCCGCTTCATATCTGGCTTTAAAACAGCAGACTTCTTACATCCATTTCTCCTTGAAATAAACAAACTCGGCAATTGGTATTAGCAAACTTGTTCTAAAAAATTCAGCAAATTTCTGGGATTAGGAGACCAGCACCATCGAATTGATAATTGCACTCCTAATTTCCAGTATCTCGGTGGAACCTCCAATTTATTAAAGACTGTAATGTATTTTGCAGTAATTTACAAAACAGACAATCTTCTTAGTAGAACATATATTTTATTTCTAGTTCACAGTGGTAGACAAATTTCATACAATTCTTAAGTGGCAAAAATTTAACACTACTCCTAGCTGGCAAAATCTTCAGAATACTAAATCTTTTTTAAAACAATATCTCACGTTGCTGAGCAACGGTTTAATACAAATATGGCGTTGCCACTTCAACAATAATTATATTTATTTATTACATAACAAGATATTACAACCTTCACATACGGATAAGTCTTTATAATAGTTATTGTTCATTCATGAAATACTTTTCTTAACAGGCGTACATGTCAAAATTTAAAAAAATAGCCCACGCAATAACTGAACAGTTTTGAATATTTCTTTTAACTTTTAAAAAGGGAAAATGCAGATAGATTTTACATACGTGAATCTTTTCCGGAACAAATTCTAGAAGGTATATATAAACTATATAAAAACCCATTTTACGGTCGTTCTTTCGTGCTTGTGGCTGATGGCAGTAAGCTTCGTCTGTTGATCATTTTTAAAAGAAAAACTTTACCGAAAAATGTTGTGTTTCCATCAGGTGTGCTGGTTCGCGCCCATGAAAAGGGATGGATGGATGCTGACGAGACAGTCGATTCGCTTAAAAATGTGTGGGATAAAAGACCGGGAGCAGCTTTCAAAAAACCTTCTCTTTTAGTATACGATTCTTTTCGAGGACACTTTTCTGAAGAAGTGACAAAACACCTAAAAACGACTGTGGCCATAATTCCGGGAGGGTTGACATCCGTCATTCAACCCCTAGATGTCTGCCTCAATAAGCCCTTCAAAGTAAATGTTAGAAAATATTGGGCAGAGTGGATTAGTTCCGGTCGACCAACATTTACAAAGGGAGGCAACATTAAAAAGCCCGATATTACATTAATTGCTCAGTGGGTTAAAGATGCTTGGAACGAAATACCCTCTGAAATGATTATAAAATCATTTAAAAAATGTTGTATTAGCAACGAACTAGACGGCACGGAAGATGATACTGTTTTTGAAAGTGAAAATGACGACGAAGGCTCTAGTAGTGATTGTAACAATACAGAGTTCGAGACTGAAAATATGTATGATGACGAGCCAATGACGACAGAAGAGTTCTATGAAATGTTTGGCGAATCTGACCATGAATCGGACGTTGAAGGATTTTGATTTTGTTTATTTACCAAGGTATTTTTTTATCGTATATTTACTTTTTTTTTCTCAGATGATTTTGAATAAATGTAGTACTTAAAAAAATTTTTCGAAGTTTCTCGATCGATTTCGGAAGTGGGGGGTCAACTTATACGCAGGTTTCTTATTTTCTACGAATTTTTTATGTCGAAAGGGGGGTCGACTTATACGCTGGTATATACGGTAAATTATAATAATAAAAAAGTATTATATGAAATTAACCTTTCATCTAAATTGAAACATCAATCTTAGATAGTTATTTACTATTATACTTTCTTTATTGCATTAGGGTTGCCGCAATTATTTTTGGCAGCACTGGCATCAACAATAGTTTGGCAATTTTTTACGGCTCTCAAAACCGAATAGTACCGTTCTATCTTATCCTTTGTGTGTATGTGTAGTCTGTGTACATTTATAATCTTTTTACATGCGTTTCCTCTTTATTCTAAAGTTTGTATTCTGTTATATATAAATTAAATATAATGATTATTAAAAATATTTTTAAATTCAGTGATAACAGTATTGAAGTATTGTTAGAGCTGTTTTAAGTAAAAAGAAAAGTAAATAAATAAAAATTATTTTATTATTTTAACAATAGAAAATGACATGGAAAACATACATACCATGGCTATAAAATAAGTATATTTCTCAGGTTTTTAATAAAAAAATTTTTTATCATCTTATAAAGTCATATGTTTGGTTATTCAAAAGGATTGACCCAATTTTAAAAGACCTTTTTATTAGTTAATGACGCACATAAAATAAAAAGTGATACATAATATGAAAGAAAAACATTTTTTTAAGTTTTATATAAAAGTATTCTATGAGACTTCTTTATTTATACAAAAATGTCAAAGCAATACTTAAATTCATGCACCAATTGTATGTTTGGTTACTGTCTTCACAGCAACAGTAATACATTTTTTGAGAACATGTAGACTTGGGAGCAAAAGGTTGCATGAATGTAGCTTTATTAATATACCTTCAAAATACCTTAAAAAAAACATATGGCATATAATCTGGTGGTCTAGTAGGCCAGCTGTAGAGCAGCAAATTATTGAATCTGCTTCAGCATATCCAAAATGTGGGCAAGCCAAAGAAGGTTAGCAGATTATGAGAGGCCAGTTTTCTACAACATTTTAATGCCATCCTAAAATTTGGAGATTTTTATTTCAAATTAATGTATTGAATAATTATGGAATTCTGATGATCTGAAATCAAGTCAATATTTGGAATAATCCTGGATTTATGTCATAGAACTTTGTTGCTAGTATTTCTAAAAAAGTAATAATGTGTAATTTCTTTATTAAATTTCAGTTATCAAGAAGAATATGGCAACTCTTTATGGAAAATAAACAAACAGATATAGTATTTCAAAAGAAAATGACCTTAAGGGATAAATTACATGAAATCTTAATCAAAAGATTCCCTAGTAAGTAATTTAGCATTGGAATTTTTAATAGTTCTTAGTCCTTTTAAAAAGCTAATGAAAAATAAATTTGAATAAATATAATGTTTTATGAGCACACAGTTTGCATAATATTAAAAGTACTAGCTTATTAGTAGTGTTTAAATTCCACTTCGCAGCACTGTACTTAGAAGTATTAATTGCACTTTAATTTTGCAGAGAAATATGTTTTCAGAAATCTGCAGTGGTTGTATCTCATTTTAAAAATGTTTTACCTTATCTCCATGTGAAACCAAATCGACAGTACCAGTCGCAGCTAAGTATTTTTTAAAAAATCAAGTTTTATTAAGTGAAAACAAGTGCATATTGATGCGCGAGTGAATAGTTGTCAGTGACAACTCTAACCCAGAGAGCAAATAAATTATGCTGTAAAATTACTTAGAGGAAAAAATACTTATTTAACATTGAAGAATCATTATTGCATTGACCAAAATGTAAAGAAGGGTAGAAACTATTCCAAATTTTTTTCTAAATGGTTCTCAGCATTTCTATCATTTCAAGTATGCTAGCAGTATGCTGTATGATGTGGCATAGTTCCCCCCCCTTCTATTTCATGTAGGTAGCTGGCTGATATCACTCTTGGAGTTGGCCAATATCAGTTTCAGTAAGAAGACAATAAAGCACAGTGATATTTTAAGTGTTCAAATATCAGTTTCAGTAAGAAGACAGTAAAGCACAGTGATATTTTAAATGTTCAAATATCAGTTGTCAAAATATTAATGTATACTGTAGGCTGGGAATCAGAAGTTGTATTGAAAAGGAAAATAATCTTATCTAGTATAAAGTTTGGTGTTTTTTAGCCAAACTGAAAATAAAATAAAAGGAAATATTAGCATCAGTTTGAAATGATAAAATAATTTCTGGTTTAGTGTTTTCTGGTTAGTCATTATAAAGATTTTTCTACTCTACAGTGTCTAAATCATTATTTTTAGAAAATTTTGTGAAATATCAGTTAAATCAGACAAAAGAAAATCTACAGCTTAACTAATGCAGTATCTTTTTCCAAGTTGGAACCGTTTTCAAAATATGTAAAATGTCTGTTCCTTAAAAAAGAGCATGGCTAGAAATTTGGCATTAGTATTTTGGGAAAACTAATCTTGCCATGCTGCATGTCGAGCATTCTTTAAAATAAATTTTAATAGTGCAGACTTTCTATGCAATATTTAACTCTGGAAAGTATAAGGTGATGAAAAAGAACCAGAAATTCTGTAACAAATGGTAATAAAAAAGAAAAATACTTCAGTAATAATATTAATTTATGCCAGTCATTTTATATACCTAACTTTTCAGCAAGAATCATAGTGATTCCCTTTCTTTCATAGCATTGTTGTTTTTACTGTTTTTACTGAGTTTGTTTTTACTGTTAATATATTAAAACAAAATATGTAAGTAATTTGTGTTTTTCCTGCAAATGTCATTTTCAAAGCTAATGATGAAAAGTTTGTAAATTTCATTTTCCTGAAATTTACAGACTGAATGTTAATGGCATGTTCTGATGTAACTTGATCTTTTTATTCTTTATCAAAATGACTATGAAATTTTCTGTCTGTACTGTTTTTCTTGTAATTAGCTTTGATCACAAAGGCATGGTGTCTTTCGTTTCTCTTATCTTTTATTACTAAATAACTAAATATTGTTAACAAGAGTTTATATGTTATTCATGACTACTTAGTCACATGGCAGCCACAACATAATCCAAAATTTCCTTTTCTTTTTAGTCAGCTGGAAAAAAAATCTTATCAATATCCATATTCACAAGCTTAAAATTACTTGTCATCCCGAAAGGGAAAAATAAGGATGACTTTTCAGAAAAGCATCGAGTCCAACTCCAGAATACATTGTAAACAAAACTCATAGTCATTAGATCTGAATCACTTAAAATAATTCTTGTTGAAATTATTTGGAGTTTTATGAATAATAATTTAAATAAAAGTGTTTCAGTCCCATCCAGCTCTTTTCTTATTACAATATATGGAGTTGTGACACTCACTTTCTACCACGTATGTAGAAAAACTCTTCATGCCTCTGGCAAGAGGTGAAATTGCTCTTAGTGAAAATGATAAAAACAGAATGCTTTGGTAATAATTTTGTGTTTTTTATTATAAAATATATATTAATTTAGATAAGATTCTTTTGATCATAGTGAATTAAATGTAGATACATTAAGGGGCATCACTCATTTTGGTCTATGGTAACTTTTTATGATAATCAGTGTTATTTGATTTCCTCCTTTTACTTTTATGAAAAGACATTTGAGAAATATTAAATAACTATTATAGCCTTATTATTATAAGCAGGCTATAATATATAATAAATTTGATATTCTGCAGTCCAGCTACTCCATGATCCAGTATACTTTGAATCTGTTTCCATAGGGTGGCTCTGTTAATAGCATTCAAGATTCAAACTATGCTTATGTTACAGCTGAGTGTTTTACAGTCATGTTAATTTCTTATTTTAAACTTTATACATAACAATATCAAATAATTATTGAGAGTTGTAGAAGTTACTGCTAATGCTAATAAATGCTAATATATATTATTATTTAAGCCAAAAAAGTGTGAATTATTGTGAGCTAGATACAAGAATGTCTGTAAGGATACTGTAATTATACTGTGGGTATTCATTTAAGAAAAAAAAGAGGAAAAAAATAAAAACCAGAGGATATTTTTTATATATTTGTTGTTTAATTTAAATGTGATGAAGTCACTCTTAAAAAAGTTTGGATTTCAGGTTGTGGGTTGTATGTGGTTGGTTCATCTATGACAGGACTTGGAGCTAACAGTAGTGATATGGATATGTGTCTTATGCTTACAGATTCAGAGGTAGGAGCTTTTTATTATCAGAATTATTTTTTAAATTGGTTTAAGTGAATAAACTATGAAATTATTTTTTTAAACCCCCCCTCAAAAAAATTAAATGGTCTTATTTAAAAGCCTAGCTATAGCATTTTTGGTACTCTAGAAAATCAACACAATTGTTTTCCCTTATAAATTAAACAAATTAATGATTTAAAATCAAAATGTGTCTTTAATTTAGCTGTTGCTGGTGAGAACAACTTAGCAGATGCTCCCTGATTATCAGTATCCAGGGTGGCTGCTTATATTGCTCTCTCGGAACCTGTATGTCTATTTAGCAGTTTTGTTGGACATAATTTTTTTTATAGCAATGCATTAGAATCATCTGTTATTTTAAAACATACAATTCTGAATATATAAATATGTATTTTTATAGTTAATGGTTAGAAATGGACAAAAGTTCACTTTGAAAAATGTTTAAAACCTTTTCGCTACATTTAGGAAGACAAAGATCTGCATAAGCCATCCTCCATTGTAAGAGTCTATTAGAATGTTGAATGCTAACTTTTATGAAGCGAGGTACAGTACAAAGTGTAATCCGGACGTCTATAATTCGGAATGATCTATAATCCGGACCTCAAAGCTACAAACTTTATGTGCGTGCGTAAACGCATAATGTGTTTACGCATGCACATTTAATGTATAACGGATGGTATAAGCTAGGCTAAAATTATCTAATGCATTTCAGTTGATGTTGCAGATTATGCTGTTCCTTAATCTTCTAATTGGATCCGGCTTATTATTTTTTGCAGACTCTTAGAACAATTTGCAAAAAATGGATAAAGGCCTTCCGTTTAAAAATTATGCGAGAAGTAGGGCATTGGAAAGTCCACTATATATGACACAAGAAAAAGGAACTTTTTGAATTTTTTGTGGAAGCGTCTTAAACAACTTACATTGAAAGAAATGTTTAATAAAGTAAATAAATATATATTAAGCTTTTTTTTTTGTAAATTTTGATACCCTTTAGATCATAATTGTTCTTTATTTCATAAATTACGATTTCATATTTTTAATTGTATAATTTCTGCATGCCATCTTACCAGATTTAAATTGATGATCTGTAACCCAGAATCGCCGAAGTTCCAACGAGTCCGGATTATGGACTTTGTACTGTATATCGCAGACTGAATAACAGTGTTCAGTTCTAGTTGCCTGCCTTACAGAAGATATGTAACTTACAGGCCAAATGAATACAAAACAATGCTTGTTAGAAATGACAAGGATAGAGAAGTTTGATTGGATTCCCTGATCCTAGTACTGTTAACAGTAAGAAGAGAAATTATGAGAGAAAGAATTTAATTACTTTTAAACTTAAAATAGAATAAAGTGTTTTAAGTTGAAACTCTAAAACTATGTTTAACAGTAGTAAACTGGGAGCTTTTCACCGAGGACCCATCTGCAAAAGTTCCTAGTTTACTAATGCTTAAAATGTTTATCACGTAGAACATTTGATTTTGTTTTGATTTAATTTTAACCACATATGGTTTTTAATTCTTTGAAAAGTATTTTTGATTTTTGTGCTTGTCTTATTTAGGAAAGAATTAGCATTGTTTTAACTTCTTTGCAAAGATCTTTTAATGAAGAAATAGTCTTGTTAGTTTGAGTTTTTAATCTTATTTCTGTTAGTTGAAAGAGAACTATTCAATTTAATTGTAAAAGTGCTATAGTGGCTTATACTATGTTTCACATGGTTATATTGGTTTAGTTTCCGTATGATAAATTAAAAAAAAAAAAAAAAATCTTTTTAGATTGATCAAGAAAAAGAAGCAAAAGATATTCTACACATAGTGCATTCATTATTTGAAAGATATGGTAAGTATATTTTGAAGAAATTAGTGTGGAATAGCTTAGGAAATTCCAAAACAGGGAGCCCTCTCATGACAACCACCTCTCATAGATGCACCTCTAAAAGTGATTAATATTTCTAGGTGTATATATAACTTTTAATACTAATATTGATAGTGGTCCTCTCTAAGACCCTCAAATACATTTATTTGTTACCACAATATCTTAATTTCAATATGAGCTTTAAATATTTCTTAGCACTAAATAAATTAAAAAATATATTTCCAACTGAAAAATGACTTTTTTAAGAGTGGTTTTTATATATTTGTGAAACATAAATTTTATCCTTATTTCAGTGTAGTATAATTTCTTTTTATAGGCTCAGTTGTGATACTACGCTCTGTAAATGATTCATCACAGTCCTAAACTGTTTATATTATTATTTTTTATTTATTACTTATTTAAATCTATGAGGACTGACCTGATATTTTGGTTACAATTTATGATTTCAAGAACCTGTTGATGAAATCAGCATTTGTTTTTGAATATCCTTTCATCTGTTTGCATTCGAAGGTTCAAATATGCATGCTACTAAAGTAGTAAAAGAGAGTAAGAATGAAAATCATAAAAAGACTATTTATAATAAAGAATTCATTATGATCAAGATGTCTAAAAATGTGTCAATGATCTAATCTGAAAGTGGAATGGCATACAAAGTGAAAATCCTGGATGCTTGAAAATACTTAGTTCTGATTACAGTGAGTACTTTTTTATGAGTTCTAAATTCTGTTAAACAAATTGTAAAATTTTTCTATTGTTTTTGCTTTACACATTGGACCTGCTTTCAGTATTTTAAAATATCATTCCTATAGTGTATTCGAGAAAGTTAAGTGATTTCCTCATATATTTTGCTTTGCTGCATTACTGTATAAATTTGTAACTTTATTATACAACAGCATTGAAAAACAATATACCACACTTTAGTATTTTTCTAAAACAGACTGTAGCTTTCAGTAAGACAAATCAATAATGATCATCATCTGGTAGTTGTCTTCTGTAAGTTGACAACCTATGCAAAAGACTGAAGTTATCTGGAATTGTATGTGGTTGTCTTTGAGAAGGTTCACAGTATATTCTCAATCATAATTAAGTTTTTATTAGATTATGCATATCCTTCTTGTAAAATATTGATGTATATCTGATTAATTAATGTAATCTGATTCGATTAGTGAAACCATATATAAATTCACAATAAATGTATATTCATTAAAGTGCAGCTTTAAAGGCCTAGAAACTAATTATGGCAGTTTAATTATTTTGGTACATGTATTTTAATGTCTAGTTTCTTAAATAAGATATATAATTAATTTAATATGTAAACTTCAAATTTTCTGAAAGGTTTTATTTATTCCCTGCAATTATTTTAAGAATCACAAGATATTGAAGAATCCTAGATTTTTGTCCTGGAAAATTTAGATAAATGCACTCTACCTCTAAAATATTACTAAAAATTGTTGGAATATAATTGAAAATATTTACAGCCTTTTAAATTGCTTTGTGAATTTTATCGTGACAGATAATCTTTTAACATAACTTTTCTTGTAATTTTTATCACAAACTTTTTCATTGAATTCTGATTATTATGAAAAATTACCTCACTTTTAAATTTATTGAAAAAGATTAAGTGACATTCTACTAACTTTTTAAAATAATTTCTTTATGCTAAGTTGTATTATGAAGTAAGTAAATGTTTTGTCAGAGTTACTTTATCTTCATATTGTGATATTTTCTGAGATTTTGCTCACAGTTTGTTCTAATTGTTAGTAAAAGAAATAATATTAAGTTTTTGACATAAAATATTTAAAATTATTATTGATAAAATATTACCTAAAGTAAATATAAAGATGATTTTAATTATTTTCACATTTGACTGTTAAAATTATTGAAGGAAGTGCCTTTTTCCCCCTTACAGTTTAAATTTTTTAAATTTAGGATCAGCTGGCTTAATTTTGCTGAAATGTAGTTAATTTTCTTACTTTATGATTATATACTATATTGTGTTTGTTTACATACAAATCAGCTATATTAAGGCATCGTATAAAAGAATAAAATAACATTTTTATTTTTATTAATGATAGACAATTTGTATTTTTAAAGTTTTGAGTTACTACAAGTATTGATGAAAATATTATAACTTCCTGTACAAAATGCTACAAAAGTCTGTGAAACATATCACTGAACTGTGAGATTTAAAACTTTCACATTTGTATTCATCCTGACTGTATGATGAAATTAATAATAATTATGCAAATTCAATCATATGGATTCATTTTCATATAACATTATAAGCAATTTGTTTGCAATTGTTCTTATAAATAAATTGCATATAATGTGATAAATGGAATGCACTGCATAAATTTATCATTTAAATTTATTGGATTGAATTAAATCTACTTCGTCGACAGCGCATAAACCACAATGGAATAAATGCACTCTTTAAAATACACTATAATTGTTTACTATAACGACACTCTGAATGCACAAAATTTATATCATGTGAAGAATTATTGTTGCCACATGTTCTATTCAAATAAAGCTAAAACGATATATGAAAGAAATTAAACCATCTCATCAACAAAAAGCCAGATTTAAGGTGTATTTCTTTAAATCCCTTTAAAAGTTGTGCCAGACCTGTGCCTTGGAAGCATTTACTTAAATTCAGAGTGCACAAGAATTTCTTCTGTGTATGATTTTGGTATTTAAAAAAACTCCTCCATATGTTTCAAAAGAAAAGTGAAAATCTGATGTACTATTGAAAATGACACAGAGTAGTGTAAATTAACATTATTATTCTGTATTGTTTATGATGTTCACTTTCTTTTAAATTTGAAAATATATTAATATTCTGATTTTTAAACTTTTGTGATGAAGTAAATTTTTTTTTTTTCTTTAAATATAATTTTGTAAAGTAATAAATCTGCACATAAATTCTTCCAGATTTTCTTTTCGATATTGAAGTAATTTATGCAAAAGTTCCTATTTTAAGGTTTAAAGATGCTGTAAGGTATGTATTTTTCATACATCTTCTTTCCAGTTTTGTATTTAATCATGTAATTTTTGTTATTTTTTGTCAGTAACTTATTTACTGTAGAGCATCTTCTTGAATTTATATGTGCCTACATATTTATCAGTTTTATGGTTTAATCCATAATTTCATTATATTTTGTGATTTTATTGATTAATCCTTATTTAACGAAACAGAATCAATTAACATATCCAAAACTTCACCTGAATCTGACTAAATGTGGAAGCAATGTATTTAACATATACCTCACCATCTGCTAGCAGCACTCGATTGGCTACTAGATGATACCAACACATCTCGTTCCAGGTTGCGATTGTCAGCGAATATATTAATTAAATTGGTTCAGTTTTGGTAATTTTCTTAACTACAATATGATTATTAGTGATGGCAACATTTTCAGTAATTTTTTATATATAAAGGAAGATAGATTTCTATAATTTATTATATAAAGAAAGGATAATGAGTCAGAACATTAAATATTTTAAGTCTTTTTTTATACCGTGTTAGATGTTGTCAAGCTAAACAACTGACAGATCAGATACATTAGAGGAATTCATAGAAATTCATTGAAATATGGTTGCCAAGATCATGCAAATAGACAGTTTTTTCCCTTTGGAAAACTAAATCAGAACTTATGTTTTAATTTTGCTAAAGTGGTATTCAAACTGAAGTGAAAAACAGAATTATAGAAGTAAAAAATCTGATGTGTACACCACAGGACTTCCTTGTACAAAATATTAAATTATGCGCATTTTTTTCTTGAATTTCATTTAAATTCATCACTACTTCGTCGACGGTGCATAAACCACAATAGAATAAATGCACTCTTTAAAATACACTATATTTGTTTACTATAACAACACTCTGAATGCACAAAATTTATATCATTTGAAGAATTATCGTTGCCACATGTTCTAATCAAATAAAGCTAAAACGATGTATGAAAGAAATTAAGCAAACAAAACAGAAAAGAAACAGTTTTTCACAGACAATTTAGTATTTCTCATTCAATTAATTCAGTTCTCACTTCGCGAAACAAGGCAAAAATACATAAAATCTCAAAATATCTGCATTAAAAATTACGAAGTAAATTTTAAACACTTATTTCCTCGAAAAAATTCCAGAAAGGATTAAGCATCATTTAATTCGCAATAATAAATGAAGGCGTTATTTTTGTGTTGCGAGGATTAGTCTCTCTAGATTGGCAACAAATCTACAATTCTGCTGTTTCAAATGTAAACAAATATGTCTGCCATGTTATTTAAAACTTAACAGCACTTAAACAGCTTTTAAATTGTTGATAATTGTACAAATATTACTTCCAGAATTACGAAAGCCATAAAAACCTTAACCGGAAGATAAAAACAACACAATTCAATCATTTTTAAAGCAAAAAATGTACAATTTACAAACCTATAAGAGTAAAGAAACTGAGATCACTGAGCCGGGTAACAGAGTGGATATATATATAAATATATTTATATACGTTTGGTGCGGCCGATTGCAACCAAAATACTAGGTGCACATCTACATGTTATAGCAGTCCTATATACAAAATTTCAATGTTCTGAGGCTATTTGTTTTTGAGTTATGCGAGATACGTACGTACATACGTTCGTACAGACACCACGAAAAATTCTCTTCAGAATTAATTTTAAAGCATATTTATAATTTTTTTGGAGGAAAAGAGTCTTTTATTCTGTCTTTACGTACAGATATCATGCAAAAACATTGTTAAATTGCATTCGATAGCGGTCAAAATGGATATTTTCGTTGAAATATGTTGACTGAAACTTTTTGCGATTACAATACTTCCTTTTTACTTCGTACAAGGAAGTAAAAATTATCTTCGATGCAATATGGCAATGACTACTTGTAAATATTTGAGTAACGTGTAGTTTGCATGATGAATATTTTTTCTTTCAGGCAGTATAAGTTTGATTTTGATATCTGTCATTAATTATTAAATTGTATCTGTTGTTTGTACATTATCATGCTTTTTCAAACAGATCATAATTTTCTTAGGTTCATTTTAAATTATACTTGATATTCTCATGGTAAGTATATTTAAAAAAAAAAAATGTCTTTTACAAGTACATGAGGAATGTGATTTTTCTGTCATTTTCTGATTGAAGTATTGCCAATGCTTTGATCTGATTGTACACATTTTAGAGGAGATCACTTCTTAAATAGTCAATAATTTTTAGCAACAGCAATATTTTACCATATTTTCCATTGTTAAATACAGTTATTAGTAACTAGAAGTTCACTTTTTGTCTAATTATATACTCAAAATCATAACCTGCTTCAAACAACCACTTTACATGCATTTAAGTAGCATGTAAAGTGGCTGTTTAAAGTAGGTCTGACCAATTTATAGTGGTGGTTACTCTAAATTTGTGATGATGTTTGCCACATTTGTAGTAAATGTTAGATATCTCCTAAATGAACAAATACTTATTTTTTACTGTAAATCTGATTTATTAAGTTTTATGTGTGAGTTTCTAAAATGCTTGACATGGTATTTTCCCGTATAGCAATCATTGATTTACTTTTCATAAAACTGAATTTTTGTGGTGTACATTTAAATTGTAGAGGATAATGTTTCCCTCTCTATCACTTTGTTACTTGTCAGTTAAAGTAGTCTTGATAAGAAATAGGAATTGGCATCTTTCACTCTTGTTGAGAGACAGATGGTTACCAATATGTGCACATGCAGGTAGTTTGTTTCTTCAATAAATGAGAAATTGTTTGGTTTCTCATTGCCAAATATATAACATTCTTAGCATTTTTAATTTTCCATTTGTGGAAAAAGATACTGTACTTTTTGCCCTAGAGAAAGGTATTTCCTCTGCTAAATAGTTTAGAGAAATGGCCATATTAAACAACTGTGTTTTGGAAAAGAAAAGAAATTTCTCTGCTATAAAACTGCATTAAGCTCCAGTGTTTAACAGTGTATCCACTTGAACATTATTTAACAATACTTATATTACAGTGTCAAATTTTTTATTACTGCCATATTTAGTTGACTCGTGAAATTTTTTCCCTCTGGGTTAACTGTGCCCTCTTATTATAAGTTTCCATGATTAGTTTAAATTCTGATTGATTTCTCTTTTGTATTTTCTCTTGGGAATCACCACTTGCAGTTGAAAATTTTTGTCTGTTTTCATCTCCATCAAACTGTGGCCTTCCCTGTAATGTAAGCCTGTAAAATCCTCGCCATGTCCTGCTATATGCATACTTTCAGCAACCCTCCTGCTTTCAGACTTTACTCAGAGCTACAATAAACTCTTCAATATGCTTGCATTTCTTAACTCAAAAAAGTCTTGGATTTGCGGTTACAATCTAGGCAAAATAACTTGAATTACCTCTATATCAGGCCTTTTCCTATATGACAAATTAAAAATCTGAATTTTCCATAAAATTTTGTCAGTTTTTCAACCTTCAACTGGTATTTAGTAAACAGTTCTGCTTCTGATTTTGGCCTGTTGTTTATTATGCTTTTGCAAGGGTAATTTTAAATATCTCAAACTTCTGTGTCTGACTTTCTGGGTCTCCCAACAAAAATTTGTAGATGCATTTGTACAAATTTAGTGCCTGTCCTTTTAATGTAGCAGTTGCTATCATAACCTTTTGAATTTCTGGTACTGGAAAAAGTAGAAAATGTGAATTTAAATGTTAAAGAAAAGAATTCATTGAACTTCCTCCATCAAAAGTCACTGCAGGCTTCATTTATGCCTGCATGGTGCCCACCGTGAAGCTAAATCCCTCCATGGAGCTAAGTGATGCTAGTGGAGTGTATAAACTTTGGAGGGCAGACTAAATGCTGAACTGCTTTGCGACATGGTCTGCTACTTGTTCAGGTACAACAATAAGATTTCAAGTCTTTCACATTTGAAAACTGTAACTAAACATGGTAGATGTAAGTGACCATGGTAAGTTGGTAGGTCTTGGTAACTTACATTGGTAAAATTTGGTAACTTTGGTAGACTTTTGGTAGATGTAAGTTGTTTATCCCTAAGTCTAGAAGTACCTTAGCCATTTGAAAAGGATGTAAAAGACTCTTTATTTTAAATTAAATAAGATAAACAGAAGGCCCTCCTGTTGCTTACAAATCCGCCAGCATTTATAGTGTGAAACTCAAAATCATACTTCAGATGTAAAGCTAAATTTAAATAAGTAATAGCCAAAGGCTACACAAAATAATTTAATGTAGAATAGTCTCAACTTTATGGGTGTGAATTTAACTATTGGTAAGTGTAATGCAAGGCTGAAGATAAGATATCTTATAGTAACAACCTAGTAACATGGCCTTCAAGAGGCAGAATACGCTTTATCTTAATCTTTCCGAGTTGGCACACCATTGTTTAGAACGTTCACTTGGGATGGATGGGAGTCAAATGGAATTATCCCACAGGATGGCGTTTTTGCATCGCTAAGAAACACACACAAAAAAAGTTTAAATCCTAATGTTATAATTTAATAATCTTTTTCCTTTTCTTTACACATGAAAATCTATTAAAAAATTTGCTTCCTTTGATAAACATAGAAGTGCTATTCATATTATTCCAATGTTTTAATCTACAAAATGCATTACTAAACTTAAAATTAATTAAAAAAAAAATATGAGAAAGATTGTTTACAAGAAGAAGTGAAATTTTTCATGGGAAATGGAAGACAGGCACTCAGCGAGCCATCTCTGATAAAATGTACCAGAATTGTTAGGATTATCGCTTTCTAACTCTTTAGAAAATGAATCATCACCATCATCCATGTCACTAATTCTCTCATTTACCATGCGACATATTCTTCCGCTGGTAAATAATGCTTGATTGTTATAACAAAGTGAAGTCAAGTCTTTTTGAAATAAAAAGGGAAATATATAAGCGACAAAAGCAATGCAAACATAACAGAACCCCACATAGTAACCCTAAAAGACTCTAAATAGAAGTGAAATAAAGAATAAAAAAAGGATTTGAAGGGATATCAGAAACACAGATGTTTATATTATATGGTGAGTTAAAGAGCTGAGTTCTGTTTCCTTCCCTGCAACAACTGACACCAAAGTTAGCTAAAATGTAAACGATTCTGATAAACATATGTTTGTCAAGATACTAAAGCTATGTTCATATCAAAAGTAAGGGTCAAAAAAGGATTCAGCAATAGATGTACACTTGCAAAAAAATAAATAAATAAATAAATAAAAATAATAATAATAATTCTATATCTCCCATTCTACTAGGCCGATTGACGAAATTTAACTTGCGTTTTTTATGTCTCGAAAGTGCGACTTAGGATATGTATTAGATTGGGACTTTTCTGAGATAACATACCAATTTTTTTCCATATTTCGATTCTGTGATTCAAATTATGCCTAAATATTAAATTTTATAAAATTTGGCGCAAAATTTTTGGAGAAATTAGCAAATTTATCTGGCTGTCTTTTTTTCAGTTTGTGTTAAGTATAATTCACTTGATGAACTTCTTAATATATGGCAACCCATTTTCCTTTCCCTTCCATTGTAAAGGACTGAAAAAAAAAAGTCACATCGTTCTCCTTTTAAATAATTTTAACAAAGTGCCTAAACTACATTTGATGTTATTATCGCTTTCAACAAATATGCCAAATTTCAAAACTCGCTAATATATAAATTCACGTATATCTTCGGAAATTTTGAATAAAAAATGTTATTTTTTGCAAGTATACTTAGAAATCTATCTACTTTAAGGTGATGGTAAAACTTTTATAGATTATAATTAAAGTTTTTTTTTTTTTTTTTTTTTTTTTTTTTTTTTTTTTTTTGAAAAATGTATAAAAATTATTTAAAAATATAAATTTTAAAAATAAATCATAAAAAAATGGGTGAATTCATTTGGAATGAACGTAAATTTCAAAATGGGAAAGGAAGAATCAAATAAGTTTAATAAAAAAAGAGATATTAATAAGTATATACCAAACTCAATTACCATTGAAGAGCTAAAATTTTGAGAAGCTAATTTTTTAAAAACTACTTGTACAGTTTTTACGAAACTTGGCAGTTTGGCATAATTTGAGTGGTAGAATTGAAATATAGAAAAAAAATTGGCATGTCATTTCAAAAAAAGTCCAGTTTTATGTCAAAATAACTATATTAGAACAGTGCTTTATATAAATCTGATACATATCCTAAGTTGTGCTTTCGAGACATGAAAAATGCAAGTTGAATTTCGTCAATTGGCCCAGTAGAATGGGAGATATAGAACCGACTTTTTTTTTTTTCTCTCACAGTGTACATATGCATCACTTGTGTCCTAAGCTTATTCTCTAGCTATGCCTGGCTCAGAGAGTTGATCATAAGGAATGCATGTATTGGATGCCCATCTGGTAAGGGTTAGCATTCTGAAAACCTCACTATAAATACATGCAAACTCATTTGCATGCTGGTGGTTAAACAGAAAGAGAGAAGTGACAGTAAGGCTTCCAGGCATATAAGCTGACTGGTTGTTCAAATTAAAGAAACTTCACATACTTCAACATATTTAAATTATTACATGCATATAATAGAAATTGTGTACTTCCGATGCTAAAGTGAATTAATTGCTTGTGTGTGTCAGAAAACATCTTTATCTTGGTAAGGCAAGAACATGCCAAGTCACATTTCTCATCAAGACTGCTGCAACTATGACAATTTCTTAATTTTGCCTTAAATTATTATTTTCTGTTTTAGTGGAATTGAAGTGGATTTAAATGTAAATAATGCTGTTGGAATAAGAAATACACAGTTGCTTGCAAGTTATGCTCGAAGTATATATTTACTAATCGTTTTATTGTATGGTTATGTAATAATTTTATATAATTTGATGAAATTTGTCTATTGAAATTTCCTTTAGTAATATTTAATTATTCTGAAAATTGTTTATATTCTAGAATAAAAATGTTATTTTTGCAGTAATAATATTTATTTTTAATTTAATTAATATTATTGAATGTTTTCAATTTTTTGTTAATTATTTTTTTTAATAAAATACTAAATTTTGCAGTCTATATTAATTTAGAACATTGAGAGCTAGATTAGAATTCACATAATTATAATTCACATAAAACAAACATTTCCAGTAAATGCAAGTTTTTACTCTTCTTACTGATTATGAATTAATGTAGAGCTTATGTTTGAATTGGATTTTCGTATATAGGAATTTTCTTCCTACAAAAATACTATTAATTAACACTTTTGTTTAAAGGAAACTATTTACCCATTCTGTTATAAAATCAGTACTGCTTCATTAATTTTTTTCAATTAATATAACTGATATACTAGTTTTTCTAGCATCTTTATTTCAGGATGCACTAGATGACCTTCAGGCTCTAAAGTGTATAGAAATCATTGTTTTTAAAGTGAAATTAATGAATTTGAATCTTGACAATGCAGCATAATATAAAGCCATAGCAGTCACTTCTATCTCTGCTATGCAAATGTCAAAATTAACCCTCTGGCTGCTTATCCCGCGATTTCCACGGGCAACTCAAATGTAGCAAAATCTGCTCATCCCGCGATTTCTGTGGGTATGTGTTTTTCTTCCTTTATTGATGAGCGCATCCTGTTTTTTTTTCCCATTTGACCACTGAAATAAATTATATACAGTATTAGACGTTTAGTTTACGTTTTAGACACAAATATCGTTAGTTGCCCGCTAAATTGGGGCATTTGAAGGCACGTGGTATTACCGCTCAAACACGACATTTTGCCGCTTTTTTCTTACAGAAATGGCCGCTCGAAAACATTCAGCGATTATCTTAATTATTTAATTAAATTATTGAATTATTAATTAGATTTTTGATTAGATTAATAATTAAATTGATATTAATTATTAGATTTATTAAATCTCGTGCAAAAAACTGTGAAAGTTGGACTTTGCCATGAACCCGTTTTGAAACTCTATCATACTACTAAACTGCATTTTTAATGTATTTTTCCCTCAGTGCTTTATATTTTCTTAAATTTTATAATTTTACCTTTTATATTATGGAATAAATAGAAATTAACTGTAATTCGACTGAAATTTATTTTAAAAAAATTTTTTTGGTGATAACATTTAAAAATTGGTATTTCTGGCAACTTAATTTCTCATGATACAAATCTGTATAAAAAATATTTTCTAGAAAGAAAAAATGCATTTTTCAATTCTACAATATATATAGATTTAAATTTTTCAACAAAAAAATTACACAATTTTTGAAGCGATTTCGGTCCACAAATTGAGCAGTCTAAGGGTTAACTCTTTTGTAGATTAATCTGCAGAGTCTGAATTAATTATGTAAATTTGCTTTTGCTTGATTTAAAATATCTAATAGTAAATTAAAGATTCTTTCATTCCTTTTTTTATTTTTCAGTGGATAAAAGGTTAGCTCCATTGGTGCTGCTTGTTAAGAAGTGGGCTCGATATCATGGAATAAATGATGCCAAACACAATACATTGTCTAGTTATTCTTTAGTCTTAATGATTATCCATTACCTGCAGTGTATGTATGTGTTTATATCAATGCTTAACTGATATTGTTATGTTGATTAGTGTATAAACTGCACTATAGATTAGACAAATTTTTGAGAACATTTACATAAAATATAAATATTCAGTTGAAGTGTAGTAAAAGCCCTACTATTTGTCATTTAAACTAACCAGAAGGCTGAAGCAGCCAGAACATTTTTAGAATTTTAGAAAATTTTTCCCCAAAAAATTTTGGTAAATTTCTGGGGGAAAAATTTCTAATGTCTTTATGGACCTCACAATACTATTTGCTTAATTAATACTATGCACTTAATAAATGCTATGCATTATCACCAAAGAATAAGATTTAGCACCAGTAATGGATATACAGGATGCCACAACACAATCATAATAAGTTCATTTTGTTTTAATGTCAATTTGCCTAATTGTTGATAAGCAAGTTTAATTTTCATAAAGAAGGTTATAAGTTCTAGTTTTTCCTTGCATTTTGAAAAAATTATTAATATTTATAACTTCATTTTCAACTTCCAGGATCAGCATCAACAAAAACCACGATACAGGACTTTGAAAATGGATAAACAATGGCAATGTAACATAAAAAATTATGAGTGATATACATTTTTATATGTTATATCCACAATATGTGTTTCTTTATATATGAGTAACTAAAGAAAGATCTTTTGTACTTCTACCAGAATGAAAGGTGACATCTCTGCCAACTTTCATCTTCGGCTGCATTTCATAATCAGATCAGATGTTGTACTGTCATGTTTAAGGCTTACAAAATAGGTTGCCTTTTAATAAAGTGATTCTTTTTATAATTTTAGAGCAAAATTTTCCCATTGATTTGTCTTTTTTAACATGAATTCTGTTTTTTATATGATTGACTATTTGGAATTTTCACGTATCCGGAATTTGTCATTTCTCAAGATTTCTGGATAGTCTGTAGTTATAGTGTGTAAATAGTTTGTGAACATTATATGATATGTTAAAAAATAACATTGTCTTTTTTGTTAAATAGGATCAAAATGCATTTTTTTTTATGCTTACCAAAACAAGGATTTAATAAAGTTCATTTTGGAAAATTTAGTTTTTCACTTTGGTTATTCAAAGTGCTATTCAGAGATTTACTGCTAACAAATTTATTATTTGTGTAAGATTTCAGTTAGCTTACTTGTTTTTCTTTTTAGAAATCAGCATTAAAAGAGTATGTAAGACTCTGCTTTATTTTCTGCAGTAATTCAATTTAGTACAGCCTAGTCTTCCTCCTTGCTTTATTGATAGAATTTGTTAATTTTTCTACCTTGTATTATTTTGCTTTTATTGACTTTTATTGTTTTGATTTTATAACATAAGTTTTATAATGAATTAATCCGTCTTAGTTGCTTGCTTTGTAATTTAGAATGGTAGACCAGATAAAAACTCTGCCTGCTTTTATAGATGCTTTATTGTTCACATAAAGAAAAGTGCAGCAGAATTATTTTTTCCTCGTACAATGAATTCTGCATTATATTCTCTTTTAGTTAATATATGGATATTTTAATTCATAAAACAAGACATTGTGTATCAGCATGTTAATCTGAAAAATATGAACATTTCTGAAGAGTTTTGAATACTTAAATATTTACTGCTGCTTTTTGTTGCCCAGCTGGTATAATGTTTAATGACCCTGACTGCTGTAGCGATGGGCCCGAGTATGAATATCGGAAAAGCATGGTAGTACCTGTCTGTTCCTTCACAGGAGGTAATGAATTGCTTCCATAATAAAATGGTGACACAAGGCGAATGGCTATTAAATAAAGCGCTCGCCCATTCACCCCCCCCCCGCCCCAAATGCTGCTTTTTGTCTTCCTTTGGCAATGGTGGTGCTGTTTTCTCTTTGGTCTCAACAGTGTATAATAAAAGTTTTTTTTTTTTTTTTTTTTCCATCACTCTCAAAGACACTGATTTATCTTAGATATATACTCCAATCTGTTACAGTTTTAACTACAAGGTGAAACTGAAAAGTAAGGTGACTGATGTCATAATAATAACTGTATTATATATTTACATATAAATACCTCACTGTCCTTCAGAGTAGTTCCCACTGTCTACAATACACTTCTGACAACGTTCATACGAGTTCTAGAAACTTTTGAAAAAGTCCTCCTTTGAGATTGTGTCAAGTTCCTTAGTAACAGCAGCTTGAATGTCTGAGATGCTTGAAAATCGGTGTCCCTTTAGTGCCAATTTCAGTCATGAAAAGAGGAAAAAGTCTGATGCTGCAAGATTAGGGGGATAAGAAGGGTGAAATAACTCTGTAACCTTTTGCTGTGCGAGGAACCGTCTAACACACATTGCAGTATGAGGGCAGGCATTATCATGCAACAGAAACCACTTGTCTGATGCAGCAAGATGGGGGCGAACACGACGAATGTGAGCCAGGAGGTGCTTCATATAACATGGCATTAAAATTCACCATTAACCATTTGACCTTCCGATACGTATTCTTTATGGATAATTCTCTGTGCGTCAAAAAAAGGTAATCAACATTGTCTTAACCTTTGATTTTTCTAAAGGAAGCTTTCTCGATTTTGGCAATGAGGGACTGTGCCACTCCATGCTTTGGCGTTTTGTCTGTGGATCATACGCAAAACACCACGTTTCATCTTCTGTGGTGATTGACTGTAAAAACATTCATCTTTATCTGCTGCATTGAGGAAGTCACCATAGAAGTCCATTCGCTGCTGTTTTTGTTCATCGCTTAAATCATGAGGGACAAATGTCGCACCAGTTTCCATTTACTCAAATCCTGCATCAGTGTTGTTTGGACGGTTTCACAAGGAAGATTCAATTCGTTTGCCATTAATCAGACAGACAAATGGCAATCTTGCAGCAATAACTTTGTAACTCTTTCAACATTTGTTGTCGTTCTGCTCGTCAACAGTCTTCCACTGCGATGCTCATCCTCCACGCTTTCATGACCTTTACAGAAATGTTTGAACCACTGAAATACTACCTTGCGAGATGAAGTTTCTTCGCCATACACACTTTGAAGCGTTTCGAAGGTTTCCGTAGCAGTTTTACCCATTTTAAAACAGAATTTCAGATTCGTTTTCTGCTCCATTATACAATGCACTAACACCTTTCATGTTTAAGTGACTGTACGAACAAACACGAAACAAGAAAATTTAAAAATGGCCGTGAACTTCATTGCATACCGAAGATCGTAATGCGCATTTGTCAGGTCGTTGGGCTGTTCTCATTTTGGAAAAGATCTGACTTTTTGGTCTCACCTTGTATTTAGCATTATTGTAACAGTAATTCTTCCCAGAACTTAATCAGTGTAAGCTTCTTGTATGCTATCAGATATTTTATACTTTCCACTTGAAATAGTTTCCAACCCATATTACAATTTCTGTGTGTATTGATAATGCAGTTCTATAAAATGTCATGTTTCTTGATGTTTCTCAATTTTGTTCGATGAGATTTAGAATTTTCTTGCATGTTTAACGATATGCATTCATCTTTGAAATGCCCAATCAATTCACTTACATTATTTGGTTAATCTCAGAAGCTTGTAATTATACGGTAAATCCCTCAGTTATGTAAGCAGTATGTAAGTACAGAGGGTATTTACTCACATTTAGAATGATTTCAATGAAGAATTAAAGGAAAGCATATGTTTTGGAGTAAAAACTTCTGGCAATAATTTATTACTTAAAATGAGCAATGTATTTAGTGACTTTTAAATTTATTCTGCTTTCAAAATGTCACATGTAAACAAACTAGTGATTGAAAGATATATTTTTACGTGTTCTGAAGAGAAACATTTCATAATTCAAGAATGTTGTAAAATGTAAGGTATTAAAATTTCGAAGTGCAAAATTAGCAACATTATTAATCGGAAAGGGAAAAACTGCAATCATTACTTCTAATTGGAAAGAAGACTCCAAGTGAATACCTGAAAAAGGTATGTAGTTCTTTTCCTGTTGTTAATCATTTCTAACAAGAGAAAAGCCGCTAGTGCCGAAATCAATTGCAGATTCCTAAATTACATCTCTAGCAACAATAAATAAAATAATAAACCAAGATTTACACCTTAACAAAGCTAAAAAATATAATGCTCACCAGCTTTTACCAAGGCATGTGGCTCAGTGCAGATTTGTAGAACCATATATGAACATCATTTACCAATAGTTAAATGGAAATAATTGTCACCTTTGATGAAGCATGAGTTTACCTAAATGACTGCAACAAAAAATGATCTGTTTATTATTGAAATCAAACAAACAAATGTGCAAACCTGGTTCTGTCAATATAAAGAAAGTTTTAATAAGGGGTATAATTCAATTTATGATTGTTGCAGAGTTCTCTTACAATGGAAAATTAAAAATGAGAAGAGTGGAACAAAATGTTAAAAGTCAACTGAATGTACTATCAAGAGAAAGTTTTATGTCTGATATTTGTGGAAGAAATTTCATTTCTTTATTCCAGCGAATTTCAAAGGGTGAAACTTCATCAAGACAAAGCAACAAGTCATACTTCGAAAAGTACTACTGCATTCCTTAATAAAAAATTGAAGACTGATATAGGTATTGTGTATGTACCTTTTGAACATATTCCTGCAAAGTCTCCTAACATTTCACATGTGGACTATTGGGCTTTTGGTCTCTTGAAAAGAGCTGTTTCTAAGCATAAACCCACCACAATTGATGAACTCTTGATAGTAGTGGAACAGGAATGGAAATCAATATCCCTGGAAGTTTTATGAAAAGCCCTTCTATCATGGAAACCACGATGCAGACTTATACTCCAGAAGAAAGGCTATCATATCAAGCATTAAAAGAAATATTCTTTACATTTTAAACATTGATTAAATGGCCGTGAAGTTGTTCTAAAAATGTGTAAATACCCTCTGCAATTCAAATTTTATATAAGTTGAATTTGTAAATTGCTTATATGCAATTTCTTATGAAATAATAATTATATGTATAGTAATATAGTATATGTGTGTGTGTGTATGCGTGCATGTGTGTAATATATGTATATATTCTTTACACACTATTATATTATAAATGAACATCATTTGGTTTCATGTTTTGAATTCATTTTAAAGGTAAATAATGAACATTACTGGTGATGAATGAGGTTACCATTAATTAAACTAGCCACACAAATATTAAACATTTGACTAAACTAACTGCAGGAATGTTGTTTGAATGCAAGAAGTAGGGGTCTGAAAGAAAAGGAATTGTTATAAGTCCCTATTTGTAACTGATAAACTTCAGTTTGAATCCTAAGCTTTTTGCACGCTTATATGACTGAAAATTTAAGTAAGTTGCATGTTACATAAATCAAGAGATTACTGTACAAAAAATTAAATGTAAATATGCATTACTTATAACATAGGATACAAATATGATAAAAAATAAGTGGTCTATACTGGATTTAGAGAAAAAATGCAAAATGCTAATAATTTCATGTATAAGCTGTAACTCTTAGTTCTGCAAGATTGAACACATGTTGTCTAGCTAGGGTTATAATGAAATTGACAGTGAAAATATTGGCCAGTTATTTGGTGATGAAAATCAGTTTGTATATATTTAATTTTGCCCACCTCTATATATTCTGATTATTTTAACTGTACAAACATAGTCAATGAATGAAGAATATAGCTTAATAAATTTATATCTTTTTTTATTTCTTAAACTTTTAATTTTTTAATATAATTATTTGCAGATGGATGTTATCCTCCTGTTTTACCTTGTCTTCAACGATTACAACCAGTAAGAAATTATTTTATACTAGAAACTTTTTAATGACAAGTTGATGTTTTTGTCAGAAGTCAGAAATATTATGTAAATAACATTAATTAAAACTTAAACTATAAAATAAGGAATGTGACATAAGATTTTCTCTCTTTCAGAAGAAAATTGTCATAGTGCATAATTATTAAAATCTTTGATGAAAATTGTATTGAAATTTAATTTAGAATGTGTTGAAAAAAGTTTCATATGTGTTTATTGCTGCATCTGTTACATTATCTCTTTCTATCTTTGCATGTATGTAAGATTAGGAGCATATAAAATAAAATTCAAACTTTTAATTTATAAAAGTCCCTCAAGTCTCCGTTTTTAATTTGATATATCAATATTAAATCTTTCTAAAGTGCAGCATTTTAAAATTAATCCTTATTATATGGTTCTTTTATAATACTAATGATATAATATATATATATATATATATATATATATATATATATATATTGCAATGGCAAAAGTAAAAGTAAAATTTTTTATCCATTTACAATAAAATGAAAATTTTAATTAAACCAATAGTAATAAAATAATACTACCTCTGTTTAGAAATGAACTAACTGATTTTACTGATATCTCTGTTGAGAAATTAACTAATTTCTTTATTTTCTATATAATATCAATATTCGCTTAATTTTTTTTAACATCAGGTGCACTGATCTCTGCACTTACATTGCTGCTTCAGTATGTGGGTTATGATTGAATAAAGATGATAGTGTCCAAATCCATGATAGTATATTTGTTGAAAGAAAAAAGTCTTGTCATTCTTCTGTGTTAATAATTTACATAAAATGTCTGTTATTTCATACATATATATATGTGTGTGAGTGTATGTATATGTGTATGCATATAATTTTAAAAAATATATAATGGAGTAATTTCTAATCCCGATATTTTGATCATTATTTATAAACATATTTTATTATGCATATACTCTAAAATTTAATAATCTTCCCTGAATAAAATCATAAAATTCTTTTCTAACTTTATTAAATCAAATTATTAAAATTCAAAGAACTACTACCATAAAATCTTAATCTGATATCTTCATAAAACAGTTCAATACAATAAGAAAAACAGCATTCCATGTCTAAATTTTGAAGTAATTTATATCATTCATATTTTTTATTCAATGATCATCAAAACTTTTTTGTGTTAATCAGTGAATAAATTAAATGGCACAATCAGAATTGTAGTTTTAAAACAGAAACACTGCATATAAAAATTTAAAAACCATTGCACATATTTTACTGAATTTCATTTTACTGAACATATATATGAATTTTGTTTACTTTTGTTAGGCAGCTACATAGAGAATAAATAGCATTCATTATTAATGATCTCAATTACTTTTTCATATCAAAACTAAGTATACAAAAATATCTCATGTACAAGATTTGAAAACACTTTTTGTAAATACAAATTAATATCTGTAATGCTTAAACACTTTGAGAATTATTAAAAAGATTCCAAGTAAGCTTTGAATCCTGGTGGTTAAGTGCATCTTTAACGCACTTGTTAAATCACAAAAGATGATAGAGCACATTTTTTCATTCTTAGATATTGGGCAGAACATGAGAAATGTTTCATTAGGCATGCAGGGAATAAAATTTATTTTTTCTAATTTTATTTATAGATATCCAAATTTAGAATAATATAATATTATAATTTTATTCATGACCTAGATTCACTCATTGTAATAGACTGGAAAAGATCTGTAATGCATTAGAGATGGTTTATTGCGTAGATGTAACTTGGAGAGGTTTTACTGCGTAGATGGAAGGATAACAGACAGTCATACATTCATATAATTCGATTACTGTATCAAGCAATTTTTAGACACATAATCTAATTTATATATCATTATGAGCACAATATGCAGCCCACATATATTTAACTTTAGCTGATCTTTAGACAGTGGATGATGCAGAAAAATGACTATGCATGCAAAAGAAGCATGAGATACAGGGTCAGAAAGATTTCAGTTTTAACTGAAATCTTTAATCTGATTGGTTATAACAATGCAAAAAAGAATGATGCAGATTAATTTTAAAATGATGCCCTTTAGATTGATATGTTATAAATACTGATTATTTTTATGTTTGAAAAGGAAACGTCCAAATTAAAATGAAGAATATAAGAGGTCTACTGCCAATTAAAATTAGAAGTTTATTGTCATATTTTTTATCTTACATGTGTAGGTAAACGCAAGTTGGTCGTCATAATTTCTTTTTCCTTGAAGTTATGGTATCCCCATAAAATACTACTTTATATGATGCTACTCTACCCTCTCAAATAATAAATCCTGGCCAGGAATTTATGGAGGATATAAAGGTACTTTCATCAAACTGTTATTCTCTGAATGGTTTTAGCCGAACTTGGCCTGTTAGTCATAACACTGGCAGTAGTACTGGAGCTCAATTGATAAGGAAGAAGGAAGTCTGGTACACAAACCATTTCCAAGACTAAAAAATTGGGAAGAAGTACCAAGATGTGTTAAGTTGTTAGATTACCTGTAGATTTTAAAGGATCACTCGGGACCTTTTTTTAATTCATATTTAGTGCAGTGATTGTTGCCAACTAAAGCTGTATTTTAACGAATAAAATTTCATATAACATATTAGATTAGCAATTTTTTTTTTTTTTTTTTCCCTGTCGTAGAATTAAATTCTGCTAACTGATCCATTCATTCCCATTAAAATGTTACTGGGCGTGTGTTGCTACGTACTTAAGCAGAAGTTGCTGGTGATAGCTCAGATTTCTTTAATGATAACCGTCGATCGGTATGGTATTTCTTTGTTTCTTTATGCTTGTAATTCAGAAAAAAATATTTTTCTGTAAATTATGCTTTCAGTGGGCTTGATGAAAATATGCGCGCCATATTTGCGGATATTTTTTCTTTTTTGGTGCATCGAAAAAATCAAGTGTGCATCTTATTCGGTGGTGCATGATATTTGTGAGTATATGGTATATTATAATTAAATTATGTTAAATACTAAAACTATACCCTTCTAAAGTATTACAATGATGCAAAAGAAAATGTAAAGGACCTGTAAGAACAAGTTTAGAATTTAAGCAAAAGTGAAGACAAGGCCAAAAATAAAATAAAATAAAACCTTTATTTTACTTTATTTCAGTAATTATCAGTGATTCAGATCAATGTAGGAGATCATTTTGTGCAGCCATTTACAACTTGTTTTGATAGTTTAAAAACTGTTTGATGTCAGGAATGTTGGTCTAACCTATCATTTTTATTAGAATGGTAAATTGAATTATTTTTGTCCATCCCCTGATCAGAGCAAAAGTATTTCAATCTGAGTGTTCTAATGATTGACCATTTAACTTTGACTTCTTCAATTTGCTTACATTCTGAATTCTCAACTTTTTCTTTTTCATTTTTGCAAAATATTGAAATTTATAATTTTACTATAATTTAGCTGCTAAAGCACAGGGATTCTTTTGATTCAGATAATATTTATACTTTTAAGATTTCTTAATTCCTTTTTTGATGCAAGGCTATATATATATGTGTGTTCGTGTGTGTGAGAATGATGATGATAATTTAGTTCTTTGCAGAAACTTAATATTTGATGAGTGCTTGGCTGGGAAGAATGTAATTATTTTGCAATCATGAGTAGATTGAGGTTAGAAGATCACTGAAAATATCAATTACATAGCAGGAGATGCCGGGAACTTTTGAAGAATCACAAAATCACTTGATAATCTAAACATATTGCTACGAAATGTACAGGCGTGGTAAGATGGCTTCCCTGCTAAACAGTTTTAGAGTTGCCATATTTGGCAAGAAATTGCCCATTTGGCGACAAAATTGGCGATATACCATGGATGGTTGAAGAACCTTCTAGAATGAATTCTTACCGGTTTAGCCCAGAATGTTCTCGAACACAAGCTGAAAGTATATAAACCCTGCTGGTCTGCCTCATCTAGAGTGCGAGTTAGTTAGCATCCAGTTGATGTCTCGTCTAGCAAGTCGATCCCTGCGGAGTCGATCGAGTTGACAGCCGGGCAACGAGTGCCGAGTGGGTCGTCGAGTGCATCAAAGGAGTCTGTTAGTGTATCGCGGTTAATGCATCGTCGAGAGAGTGTGTTGAGCTCTGGGAACGACTGAACCGAAGAGTAGGGAGCTGTACTCATATGTCGTCGAGTGCATCAGGAGTAGTACCGTGGAGAGTATGTGGAGTTCCGAAAACGACCAATCAGGGTTGGGAGCTGTACTCCGGAAAGCAGAGTTGGGTGCTTTACAGGAAGCTGTCTCCACCGTTATTGCCTGACAGTGTGAAGGCTGTGTTGTTGATTGTTCCAGCGTGTTTATAGTAGATCTTCGACGACTGTAAAAAGTGTTATTGGAGCTGTCCTGACTAATATTGGCTAAATAAAGTGTGTTTCGATACTTTATCAAGTGTCGTTGTTATTCATTCCAAATCTACGAACCCCATACGAACGTGAAGGAAGAAAATAATGTAACAGCTGGTGTCACAGAAAGAAAGAAAAACGAACAACTGGTGTCAGAAGTGGGATTTGCGAGTGAATGCCAGTGACCCGCCTGCAGAGGAAAGCCATGGCAGAGAAAATGAAGACTTTGATGGACATTTTAGCTGAGATAAAAGCCGGATACGTTATGATGAGGGCTGAAATGAAAACCGGACTGGCTGAGATAAAAGCCGGATATGATGAGATAAAAGCTGGTTATAAAGAGATGACAGCTGAGATCAAAGCTGGACTGAAAGAGATGAAAGCGGGACTGGAAGATAAGAAAGCCTGGCGAGAAGAAATAAATGCTGGCCAAGAAAAGGTGCAAGAGCAACTCCAACAGGTGAAAGTCGAGCTTCCGGAAGAAACTGGAGCCATAAAAGAAAATGTGGAAATGAGAGAAGTAGCATCTGAAGAATCAAAGGATGAAAAAATGAAGGAAGTAGCTAAATAAACTGTCTGAGATAGATCAAGAAATG